AGCTACTTCATAGAAGCACAGAGAGCAGGTGACACTCTGCCATCCCACCAGGAAAATGTCCAGAAAGTCAGGAAACCAATACAGACAATACCAGCGCTGGGTTCAAAGAGACTGAAGCCTCAAAACTTCCAAAATGAACACACCCAAACAATGTAAACAAACTATTGAATCTTTCAAAACTAGCCACAACTCGTTAACACCCCCGACATTGGGGATTTGGAGCTCCAGGTCTTTTCCAGCCCTCCATGCCAGTTCTGGAACAGAAGTGAAGACATACACACCAACTGATGAATCTACAAGGGAGGGAGAGAATCAGGGAGCCACTACAGCTCATACAGAAAGAAGCATTGCATTATATTCAATACTGGTTTTCTGGGGGAAGCCCCTGGTGGCTCCCTGAAGCTAACTACCCACAGAGAAACAAAATCAGGGACTCACCAAGGAGGAGAGACTGCAGACAATCAAAATGAAGAGATGGCTGGTCAGGAGAGAGAACCAAGGGCAACACGGACAAAATGAGGTCCAGGAGCTAAATACTGCACTGCCACATCCTTGTTGGACCACCAAAATCCCCATGCCCAAATATCAGCCCAGGACATTTTAGCAAAGACCATTGCAAGTGAAGCATATTTACGAACATTGTGGGCACAATGGTAGACCACAGGCTGGCTAGAATTAACTTCACCGCAGATGACCTGAGGAACACGAGTCTTGGAACAGGGAACCAAAGAAACAGGTTCAACTTAGAAAGCATTCACTGAAGCGTAATCAGTGGCATGAAGGTAGCAGCAGAGAGCTGCCACTGGACACAACACATGATGCACCCATGGCTAAACCAACCAAGCATCAATAACCAAAGAACCCCTCTGGAAGCCTGTTGACTCATTCTTCACCTGAAAAGGAAATAGCTGCAATGCTCATAATGCCTTCCAGGGGCAAAACAACAACAAATTATGCCACTGAAGATGAGCAAGAAGCTCCCCAACCCTGCAACAAGATGTGAGTTCCAACAGGAAAACCACCAAAGAAAAGTAATCACAGACTATGGGGGGAAACTGTAAACCGAGGAAAAGAAAGGCGAGGAGATTGTGAAGAGACCAGGATGGTTCATGCAGCACATGACTAGGCCAGAGGTGAAACAATGTGCAAGACAGCTTCTAAAATGGAACCAAGGTAGTATCCATGTCAAATACAAATACTGTAGTAGCAGCTCTACCTGAGCTGAATAATAATAAGTGACAGTATTAGGCTAAGATGCCAGTTGAGAAACAATCAAGAAAGGAATGAAAGTGCCACCTGAATAGAGAGAAGAAGAATGAAGATGAAAGGAAAGGAACTGGCAAAGAGAGTGCCAACCATATTCATACTGGTGCCTGAAAGACAAACAAAGGTGGGACACCATAAAATCTATCACCTGCTCACCATATAGATGACAATAATGATGCATCAGAATGACCAGACAAGAAGTCCCCGAGAAGAAATTCCTACCAGCTAGGTACATCACTGATCTTCTGAAAGAGGTGCAGGTGTGGAAAAACACTCGAGTTCAGACACCGTGCAAACAGCAACTGAAACTAAGGTTTCAGTTGAAACCAACAATTGTGGCAGCAGCAAAGGGTGGGAATTAGAGAAACCAGAACAAAAACCACACACTGCCTATCAGGAAAAACCATGCAGGCGAAGTTCAAGTCTCTGCACAAATGCTTGAGCAAATACCAAGTCACCCAGGGTGCCACCTTAACACCAGAAGGCAGTGGTGCTGTAGTCAGAGCAAAGCCACAGGATGAAGGAAAAGCAATGCCATCTGACAATTCCAAACAAAACCCAGTCAGAACCTGGGAAGGAACCAACTGGAACTTCTTTCAGTTCACTGGGAACCCAAAACCAGCGAGCTGGGAAGAACAAGATCTCTAGCTGACAGACACGCAGACTATCTCCAAGCCAGCCAGTCATTAGGTAGGTCAAAATACGCACCCCCCAGCAAGTGAAGAAAGGCCACCATGACCCGAGCCAATCTGGTGAACACACCGGGAGCCAGATTCAAGCTGAATCGTCAGTGCAAGACTGGCGCTGATGAGCAGGAGGAACTGACAGTGGGAGGCTCATACGACCCAGAATCTGGCTCCAATGATGGCCTACTCTGACAAGCAGAAAGTGACGCCCTGGCCCTACCAGACTGCCTCTGAAAGCATAGAAGAGAACAGATCGGAAATAAGCTGGCAGGAAGCCTCTGCCAATAACAAACACTGGGCCCTACATCTTCAGGAAAATGGAGAGGCAGACAAAAGCGTCAAGGCTCAAGTTAAATCTAACAAATGGGCCAACGCAGCCTCTCACCATGCGAGACTCCCGCCATGAAATGCATGCAAAATGACATATGCGTGAACAACAGAAGTTGTGCCAAGCCTCAAGGAAAAAAGAGAGGATTGATGTTAGAGTGTCAAGAAAACTCTGGAACCTCAGCCCGTATAGCAAGGAGGATCCAAACTCAAGAGGCAGGGTCCATCAAAGATGCAAACGCCAGGTTATGCAAGTTATAAAAAAAAAAAAAAGTGTTGAATGTTATGAAACGCCAATTTCTGGGTGAGCCCCAGTGGCTTCCTGAAACTATCAAAGTTTTCCCCAGAAAAAGAGATCCCCCCCAAGTCCCTGAAGAGGGGATCTGAGAGGGAGGAAACCTTCGGAAAGATAAGCCCAACAGTGTATGGTATGCAGAAAGGAACCATGAGGAGAGAAGCAGAGAGAGTCATACAAGGCAGGAGAAATAAGAAAGCGTGTCCCCTTGAAGCAAGAGGCCCTCATCAGCAGGAACAAAGGACCATGTAGGGTCCAAGGAAACCCAAGGACTCTACTGAACATCCCAAATCTGTGGAAGTCAAACATGAAAACTCCATGGTAGAATCCAAGCCCACACCCACTGCCTGGGATAGAAAAGTGAAGTCTGGAGAAGAAGTTTCAGAAGAAAGGGTCGGCTGGAAAAAGGAAAACCCCAAAACCATGGCAGAACTACACAGCTCAACTGCTTCCATGTCCGAAATGGAAAGAGACATTCCCGGAGAAGGCCAAGTCACATCCCGAGCTAAACCCTGTTCCAAGTAAGAAACCCTCAGACATTTCGGAGCAGGAAGCAGGGGAGGAGGAACAGAAGCCGGATGCACCACATCTAAAGGGGAAGGAAGGAGAGGTGTAGACAGAACCCAGGTGGAATTCACCAACACCCCCCTAATTCCAGGTCCCAAAAAAACAAGACAGGCAAACTCCGGGGCATCCAACTGGGCACAAGCCACAAACACTGAAGAGCGAGCAAAACAAACTCACATGGTGGCAGCTGTCTGAGGGGATTTGTTTCGCTTCCCCTTTGATGGTTAGGAAAGGATATCCTTAAGTCTTGTCAAAACCCTACGAGCCAAGTCCACACAGCACACTCTATACAGAGAACACACTTGTAAAGCCAAGTATAATTTGGAACAACAGCCAGCAAATAGTTCCTGCAAGACAAAGTCGAAGGATGGATGAAATTTAGCTTAGAAGCATGGGACCTGCACAACTTGGTGACAATCTCCTCCTTCCTGTTTTTCTCTACGGGCAGGTATCTTCAAGGATGCACACGGGGGCTATCCCAAAAAAACAATGTGGAATGCAAATAAATTGCATATTTCTGGACGAGACCTGGTGGCTTTTCGATTCTCTCCCTCTCTTTCAGGTTCTTAAGTTAGTGTATATATTCTATATATCCACTCCACAACTGGCTTGGAGGGATGTGATGAACCTGAAGCTCTGGACCCTCCCCACCAACCATTCACGGGAGTGGAGGAGGGCTTAACGAGCTCGCACATCAACTAAATAATGTAAATCGTTTATTTACGTTGTTTGTGGGGGAGTTTGTTTGGCAGTTTCAAGACTTCAGTCTCTTTGAATGCAGCGGCAGGCTGTACTGGTTTGCTGACTTTCTGACTGGGGTGGAAGTGTCACCTGCTCTATGCTTCTGCTAGGGGTTCTGGCTCTGGTTCTAGATTGACCAAACAAAACTCTGCAGCTGATGTGACCTAGTAGTTGGGAGTCATCTCAGCGAGATGAGCATCAGGCGGCCACAAGGAGCTCTCCAGAAATTAAAATCTAGCAATTCTCTAACCAGCTCTCATTTCGAGCAAATATCGTCTTCTTGTGGTACATTGTCTTAAGTATTAAAACGGTTGTGTTAACCCTGAATCTGGCAATTAACTGTTGTTAGTCCCATATCTCATGGACTTAGTCCTTATTCAGCTTTACAGTCTATTACATAAACTGTTTTTAATGCAATCAGCAAAGAGTTCTTGGACATCCCAGTCACCAGATTATCTGCTGTATGATTAACCGAGGGTTCTTCTCCGTGTTAATCTTCCTGTGTGAGGAGAGCAAGCTGTAAGGAGTAAGGAAGCTGGGATGTGATACCAAGGAACATCTTTGTTTACTCCTGGCACAGACTAGACAGAGCAATTTTATACATTTATATATTGAGTCGTGTAGCTTGAGAGGACTCTATGATCAGAATAGTCACGGTGCAACGTTTATGTCTGCTGCACTCGGCCAGTTACACACAACACAAATACATGGCACACCTCTCTTATGGCATCTAATGGGAAATGACAGAATGGAAGAGCCCAACTAGCCCGTTAGTTAGCACCATCACAGCACAGTTGTACGTTACACCTGTGAAAACTTCTTTTTTATTCAATGCCATATCCAACATTTCCCAGGGGCCTAAACTCAACTTATATGCTTTATATGCTCCAAGCTTAATAATGGCATCCAACCAGCACATACAAAAGGCAGAGCACCTTTGGCAACAGTCATCGCTACTTGGGATTCACCTGTTGCCATTTTGAGATTCCATAATGCCATCTTATCACACACACATGCAATTCAGCCATATACACCCTAATTTATTTCAAATCTTTTAAGATAAAACTTTGCGAGTAGAATTAAGTATCTGATCATATTTGCACAAACAAATCAATAAACAAATTCAAATATATAATCATCATATAAATAATTGTGTAAGAATCAAATGATGTTACCACATGCAAGATCAATCTTTACAAAATTTGACTTGCACATTGTAGCACTGGACAGGAGTCAGGCCCAGAAGCACTGCCAACTGATGGCTACTTGAGATCATTGTGGCGTAGGGCACAAACTCGGCTCCATCGATCAAGGACGAACCGAATTGCTGAGGCAAGCGTCCTCGTCGCCAAGTGTAGGACCGCGTATATTAGCCACTGCTGATCAGTGCCACACTTCACACTGGAATAGTTACACTAATTGTCAACACTGTGCATAGTTGTCATTTAGTCAGTGAATGAGTTCATTGTCTTTCAACATTTGCATCATTCACCTTAGGTCAGACACACAATGCTTCAGCTTAACTCCCAGTACCACAGGTTTCTGGCCCCTTCAATATTGCAAGTAATCCATCCTTGGTACCTTCTCATGCTGCACACCATTAACCAGCCTTGTAAAAAGCACGGAGCACTTTCGTGTGCTAACACTTCTCATAGGTCACCATTACAAGTAGTTCAGCAAGCAATGGGCTGGACTGTTACCACAAGGCTAGGAGTAGGCCGACACTTCCTGGGTAATTCCAGCAACTTAAGTGTACTAACAGTCCACGGGGTCGGGAGGGAGCCGACATCACCTCATCATTTCTTGGTATTTTTCTTTGTGTTTCTTAAGCATGTCTGTTACAGTCACTAATTTTTTTAATGTTACCTGAAATAAGGGTAATAATTAATACAATACTGTACAGTATTCATATATTATAGCTAGTATTTAGCATGCTGTAGTGCTAATATTTGACTTCATCTCTATTTATATCCACAATAGATTTCTTGTGGTGAAATGTTAGGATGAGCAATGGGGAACAAACCTGTGTCTTGGCTTTAGTAGTTAAGACACCTATGTGTGTGACACATATATGGTGCAGCTGAGCTAGGTCTCGTGATGGTTCGCTCTTAACCGGCAGTTCTTCAATCTCTGGCCGCTCACCGACACTCTGAAAATAAGAAAGAAACACTAGAAACATCAGCAACAATCAACTGCCTTTTATCAAGATTATCCAGTAATTGTTATTTATGCTAGAAATATAATTATTCATTGCTTTCATAATTATAAACTCACAGTGGTAAAAACCAATGTTGAATGTCATGAAATGTCAGTTTCTGGGTGAGCCCCTGGAGGCTCTTTGAAGTTATGATCACTGATTAAGTACCATCAGTCATCAGTCATCTATTAAGTGCTAGTGTCATCAGTCGCGAAGTTCTTTTTGTCTACCAGGGACCACGAGCCAGAACCTGGCCCCCCCCCCCCTCACAGGGCGTGATGTCCTATGAACACCTTCCATTTGAAGGATATATCTTTGCCATCACCAGGAAAGGCACCCAGAAAGATAGGTGAATCAAAACAATTCACTGCCTGGTTTAAAAATGCAACCAATGTCCACAAAATGCCAAAAGAACTCCCTCAACAAGAAAAAAAAACACAACTTAGTGACACTAGCCACAACAAAAACCTGTGTATGAGGCACCTCATTGAGCAACCCCATATCCTCCACGAGACAATCGGAAGACCGCTCGTGGAGACACAAGAACCGCATGATAGAAGACAAGTGCGAACAAGTCCAAAAATTGTCAACGACCAAAGCTACTGAAAGAAAAGGAACTTGAGTGTGCAGCTGACCTAGACAAACATCATGGGAAGGGGCAGGAGCAAAGAGGCAAGAACTGAGGCACTCAAGAGAGCCCCCCAAAAAATTAGCGTTGAATGTAATAAAATGCCCTTTTCTTTATCTACCATCAACTGGGGTTAGGCACCCAGAGAGGTAGGCATAACAAACCCCCCCCCCACATGGTAAGAAAATGAGAACTAAAAAGAGAGGTGTAGCACTCCCTCCAATCCCAAGCAAACAAGCAAATGTCACACTATTGCCGGGCCACTAGTCCATACAGCCCTTCCCTCCCCATGCCGGCTACCCAGCACTCCAGTTTGGAAGCTAAGCATGAAATAACGCGAAAAACCGCCGACCAGAGGGAAGGAGGGTTGTCAGGAAGCCTTTGAGGCTCGCCCAGAAAATGGTGTTTCATTACATTTAATGCTGGTTTTCTGTGTGGGAGCTCCTTACATGACCAAAAATAAGGCAAAGAGGGACTTGCCCAGGAGGCGGCCGCCACAAACTCCTCAATGTGAAGTCAAGACAACTGGCTGCAACCTGCAACTCAAAGCAACACAGCAACGCCCAGGAGCAGGAACGTTAACCAAATAATGAGCGACCAGGGCCCAGTACTGGTCACAAAGCCCCAGCCAAGAAACAACGATTTCATGAACACATCAGAGCAAGGCATTGAACCCTGAAAACCCCGAAGAGGAAGCCGGTAATGCAGCAACCAATGCAAGACCCCCAGAGGACGAACCCAGCAATCGCAAGAGAAGCGACGGGGGCGTCCTCGAAGGAACTAGAGCAGATGCCGAAGCCAAACCCGACCCGGAGGGTAAACCAGCATGACGAAGTTCAAACTCCTGCACAACTGCTCGAGCAACTGCCAAGTAAACCAGGAATCCCCAGAAACAGCCGAAGGCGGGACTACAGCTGCAGCAATACCTACAGGGGAAGAGACATGGAAGAGATCCCTTCTGCCACTCTCGTAATCGCTGGGATCAGACCCTGGGGACCTTGCGTTGCTGGTTTCCTCTTCAGATTTTGAGGAATCCATGGTACAAGTTCTGTGCCATGGCATCTACCCAAGCCCTCGTTCCATGTGTTCACGGATGCCTCATCTCTCAGCTGGGGCTTTGTGATCAGTGCTCGCCAGGGTCGGTGGGGTCCGTCCTTCCGTCGGGCTCACAGCATGGAGCGGGAGTTCACGTAGGTGTGGTATTCGCATCAGAGGCTTCCCCTCGCTCGCATATTGATGATTCAGCTCCATTCGGACTGCTCCCCTGTGGTTCATTGTCTGAACCGCGAGAGATCAATGAGATCCTTGGCTCTTTGGGGCTGGTCGCTTCAGGTGATTCATTTGCTGAGTTCTTGGGGTTTGGCTCTCCTGGCGATTCATGTCCAGGGAATGTCCAACGTATTGGCAGACGGCCTGTCCTGTTTCATTTCCCTGTCCACAGAATGGACGGTCAACACCGACTCGTCCCGTTGGCTCTGCCGGATGTTCGGGCGCCTGGAAGTGGAACTCTTTGGGTCGGCTTAGTGGAGGTGTCTTCTGGTATATGTGGCGTCCTTCCCCAACTGGGAGGCTGTTGGGGTTGATGTCCTTCAATTGGACTGGTTGAGGTGGGGTTACCTGTACCTCTTCCCACTGGTTCGGTTATTGCTACAAGTCCTGGCTTGCTTGGAGACTTACCAGGAAAGGGTAGTCCTGCTGGCCCCTTGGTGGCCAGCTCAGCCCTGGTTTCAGGCGATGCTTGCTCGTTGTCCGAACCCGAGGGTCTTCCAGTATCTTCCACGTGTATATTATAGCCAGTTGTCTCAACTTCAAGTTGAGGAGCGAATGGCGGCCGCCTCCTGGGTAAGTCCCACTTTTCCTTTATCTTTGGTTTGGTAGCTCCGGGGAGCCGAAGAAACCCACAGAAAAAACATTGGTTTTCTCCACAGAAAACCAGCATTGAAAGTAATGAAACGCTATTTTCTGGGCGAGACCTGGAGGCTCTCCGGCATCCCTCCCTCCCTCCCTCCGGTCGGCGTTTTTTTTTTTTTCGCATTTTTTATATTCAGCCTCTGAACTGGGGTTGGGTAGTTGGTGTGTTTAAGTCTGGGACCCCCCCTTCCCCCTCCAAATTTTTTAACTAGCTATAGTTTGTTTTGGAATTCCTACCTTTCTGGGTGCCTGATCAGGTAGATGGCAGATATAGACTGCTTCCAATTACATGGGGGTGTCTATAGGTCATTGCTCCTTGTGCCTCTCTGAGAGGCCAGGTTCTGGCGCCGGTCTCCGGTAGGCTTAGAACTCCATCGATCTAAGATATACACATCAGTCTGGTATAGCTCCGGAGAGCCGAAGGGTCTCACCCAACAAATGGCGTTTCATTACATTCAACACTAGTTTTTTTGCATTTTCTTAAATTCTGCACAGAGTTTAATAATTCTATAATGAAAAATTTTCTTTTGGCAATTTTTTACTTTTTTGTGAATAGGCGGGTATGACCATTTTTAAATAGCAGCTATCTAAGGGTTAAATATATGGATTATGAAATACCAAAGAAACTGTTCATGACTTTTTTGAGACCAAAACTAAAATAAGTAGCGGTTGTATGGTGCCCATGTCTCAAGAAACACATCAACAAACAGGATAAGGTACAAAGACATGCAAAACAATGGCTTCTGGAACTGAAAGTAAAGATCTAATACGAGAGGCTAGAGGTGTTAAATATGCCAAAGCTAGAAGATAGAAAGAAAGACAATATGATCACTTCATACAAAATAGTAATGAGAATCAACAAAATCGATAAAGAAGAATTCTCTTCACCTGGATCTTCAAGAACAAGAGGTCATAGATTTATGCTAGAGAAACAAACCTGCCAAAAAAGCAAATTAGAAAGTTCACTTTTGCAAACAGAGTGGCAGCCAGTTGGAACAATTTAAGTGAAAATGTGGTGCATGCCAAAACTGCTGGTAGTTTCAAAGCGTCACTTTAAGAGATGGTAGTCGGGTTCATTCTCGACACACAATCTAGAACTCAGGGTTTAAATCCTGGGTGGGACAGAAATGTTTGGGTACACTTCATTTCACCTAATGCCTCTGTTTACATTGCAGTAAGTAGGTACTGTACTCAGGAGTTACAGCTTGTTGTGGGATTGCATTCTCGGCGGCGTCAGTAATTCGACCTTGGGGAAAACCTCGATATAAGCCTAACATGTATGAATATACCCTGGCTTCCTGTCTCCCAACACAATGAATTATATTATTATATACAGTATATGACAGAACAATGGGAAGATGGAATGCCACGAGCTTAGCTCTCATCCTGTAACTATACTTGAGTTATTACACAGTTATTACAGTATAACCATATTAACATCATTTATATACACATCAGACAATAATACCGTAATCGTCACATGATAACCACAATGGTCCGGAATATCGATACACGGTTTGTTTTGCTTGGTCTGTACACTGTCGGATGTTCTTGAGAATAATCTCGGATCTCCATACTCCTCCTTTCCTCAATGAGCACCAGACTGTGTGTGTGTTGTATATGCACAATTCTTGACATGACACAACTTTCACAACATTTAAAATATTAACCAGCAAAATAGAGATTTGGATTACAGAACAAGAAATAATAAACAGCTGCTTGGTAATTGGTAACTGGCTACAAGCCAGATATTTAACCACCAGTACACATCTACCATATTATATTTTATGTACCAAGACACTCTTAAGAGGATAATAATTCTTATTTTAGGCAGACAAAAACTGTGAAGAGATTCTCTAGGCAAGCTACTCATTAAAAAAATTAGCAAAAATACTTACCGATAATGTATCAAGATAGGTGATCATGCGCTCCTTGTTCTTGAGAATGAAAGGGTTGACCACCTCCATGTATGGCTCCTTACCACCAAACTCCACCAGGTTGGCCAGGTTCTGTAGGCACTTGGCTATCATGATAAGGGAGCGTGATGCTACAGGGTGAGGCGGCTCTGTGGGAATGTTACATATGAGGTTTGGGACTCCCTGTATGTGTGCGTGTGTATTTACTATTTGTGCTTGCAGAATCCAGCTATAAGCTTTTGGACCCCGCCTTCTAACCAACCTATTTTTCCCATATTATGTCTACTACATTTTTTCTCTGTAACTGTAACGATGTCAACGTCATCTGTTGAGTGCACCCAACCCCAATTAGAGGTTGGGTGCAGCCTTTTTTAACTCCACATAGACACAGTCAACCCAACCCCTTCTTTCCTGTAATATCTCTGTGTCTCTATCATAAAACTAAGAAGATTTGGTACACAGGATCTTCCTGTTCGAAAACCATACTGTCTGTCCAATACTAACTGACAGTTGTGTGTGTAATGACACACACAATTTTCTGTATGGTGGGTGGGTTGGGTGAGGTGGGGTGTGTATTCACCTAGTTGTGCTTGCAGGGATTGAGCTCTGCTCTTTCGGCCCGCCTCTCAACAGTCAGTCAACTGTTACTACTATTTTTTTTTCCACACACACACACACACACGGTTGTTCTGGAAACTGGAACACAATGGAGGGGTGACAGGTAAGCTTCTAACATGGATGAAAAATTTTCTAACTGATAGAAAAATGAGGGCAGTAATCAGAGGCATGTCACGTCTCCAAACTGAGTAGCCCCTTGGGAATACGACCTCATTTAAAATATTTTCTTCAGGTTTCGTCTCTGTTAGTGTGACAATATCTGGGACCTTGAGCTGAATTATATCCTTCAACTCCAATATTTTCGATTTCACTCCATCTATGTAAGTATACTGTATACTATTTTCAGGAACATGTTCCCCTTCCCTTTGTTCTTACCCCCCCTTCCTTTAATGATTTTGTTGCTTTGTCTTTATGCACCATTCCACAAGCTTTTCAGTCCCTGATACTTTGTAGAAAATAGAATTACTTTCTTCTTCATTCCTATTCCCATTTAGACGTTTCGCTTTAATGAGGTTCATTTTCAGCTCTTCCCTGTCCTCCTCCTCCTCCTCCTCGTAACTCCCTCCATACCCAACGGAAAGTGGCTATTAGGACAACTTACATTCATCCAGAGTTAATTTTTAAGTATGGCAACTATGATTCAACTTTAACTGTAAAATTTTCAAAGGCCATCGCTCCCTGCACCTCTCTGAGGGGGCCAGGTTCTGGCTCATAGTCCCTGGTAGGTCAATAGAACTCCATGACTGATGACACCTGATAGTATGACACTGATCAGTGCATGATATCTTCAGGGAACCAATGGGACTCTCCCTAGAAATATTGGTTTTATGAAGAATTTTGGTTGTCCAGCAATGCATCCCCCATTCATTGCATCACGTCTATGGGAAAGCTAGTTCCGCGTTCCAAATACAGTAAAATGCTATGCAAACACATTTTCAAAACAAAACCCGTTTGTAGTGAGGGGACTGCCTGTATCAACTGTACTCTTCCAGGGTACAACCTTCTGCAGAATTTAAGTAATTTCTCATTTGTGCATCCCCTGTCTCGTATGTGTATGTAGTTGCATGTGTATGTATTATTGCTGAACTACGGAATTTGGTCCTGTTGTTAACTGAAACTATTATATTAAATATTCAGATAATATATTGTTACTATCTTACTTAGATAGTAAGCTGATGAATTTTTTAGTTACAGTAACAATATATTTGTCTGATGATTATACCATAAGTAAGTGATTAATCATGATCAGAAATCCTTTTAAGTATTACAAATACTCACCTTGTAAAAGGTTGAACTGTCTGGGATTTAAGATGGCCGGACATATCAAACGTAGGAAGATAAAGCCTGATACCACTCTTGTTTTAACTAGCCGATCCTGTGGCCACTTCTCTATCACTTTACGTTGTAAACATCCACAGATATATCTTAAAGGCCTAGAATACATCCACAAGATGATTAATGTCAAGATTTTATTAATGTCAATTACAACTCATTTACAATTTATTCACTGAAATAAAACCAGACATTACCATGTATCTCCATCACACACCCCTTGTTGTGTTTGTCTTGAGACAAGCACCTTGTTAGATGTTTGTCTTGAGATAAGCACCTTGTTAGATGTTTGTCTTGAGATAAGCACTCTCATCAACTGCAGCATCACAAGCATGGATTGCACTACTTAAACTTTCTAATTTACCAGTTGCAAATATCACTGGCAATATGGATCACTATCCCCACAATCCAGGGTCTGATCAGGACTCCTGGATGAAGTTTGGAACACTCATGACAACTTGTGTATTACATTCTGATGAGACGCACTAGCTACACTGCATTAGCATTATACATAAGCTCCATTTCTATCATGTGTGCATCTTCTTATGAAGATACACACATCATAGAAATGAATGTGAATCCCAATATGAACCCGAGCCCTGGCTTTGTTGCTGTTGACTCTTCCCCTTCTCAGTACAGTATATACTCAAATGTTCTAAACTTTCTAACAAACGTGACCTAACATAAGCCTACCCTTCCTTTTATCTTTCTTTTTCTTTCTCTTGTTTTCTCTTACAATCCCTTTCTTATTCCAATTATTTCACCCTTCATTACACATTACCTTCCATACCGTTTGCCTTGCACTATCTTCCTTCAAGATTTCCATCTCCTCACCTCTCTCTTGCCTACTTAAGGGGCCCGGTGACAGAGGAGACTTTTTTCATATATGAAATAGTGAAATATTTTAAACAAATCTCCCGTTATTTGGCAGCAGCGTCATGGAAATTTTATCCCAATATGTTAAGAAATGGATTTTTTTACATTTTTGTTTTTTAATAAATGCGTGTGCTACGGGCGGCAATCGGTACTGATAATTATGATAGCACCTATTTACTGGCATCAGGGATAAAGTGATGCAAGCACCTGTCCGACGCACAAAGAAGATGAGTAGTAAGGAGGGTCTACAAAGTGGATATGCCGCTGGTGCCAGCTGGAGGGCCAGATTTCACACATAATAATGAGCCAGTATGTTATTATGCTGTATTTTATTATATATCACATATATAATACATTGCCTAATGGCAATATTCCTCATGTCCCTTTGTATAAAAAGCTAACAACCCTCCCCCTTTTTTCCCCCCTTTGTTTATACGCGGATTTTGTTGTGACTTCTATATCTTGGAGAATACATATCCGGCACTAAGCATGTGAAGTTGGAACAAAATTGGTCAACTTGATAATCAGCCGCAGGTGGCAAAAGTTGTGACTTTTATTTTTTGGGGGGCCGATATATATATACAGATTTCAAACTCTATTCTCTTTGTCTATTTAGGTTGTATTGATGAATGAGGCCCCGATGAGGGCCTTATCACTTATACATGGGCAATAGAGTTACTGCAATATATATGTTTCGTTATAAGAACATAAGAATGAAGGTAACTGCAGAAGGCCTATTGGCCCATATGAGGCAGCTCCTATTTATATACACCCAATCTCATTCATATATATGCCTAACCTGTTAGACAGTTAAGGGGCCCAGTGTCTGTTTTACAGTTATCCCTAACATATCTCTATATTTTTTTTTTCGAGGGTTATTTTTCTTGACTTCATTTCAACACATATTGACCTACAACTTTCACCTATTCGAGTATAAATGCCAAGCAATGTTTATTAAAATATACAAGAAAATTCATTTATTAGAACTACCCATATTTATTCTCAATTACTTCAACTTCAATTATCTCTAAAACAGGAATTTCAACTTTGAGACCTGATAAAATTTAGGTTTCTGACCAATTCTCACCATTTTTACTTATTATGTGCAAAGTTCTTAGTTCTATAACACTCATCATTTTGTTTAGTCATAAAGCTATAACATTTGGAGTTATATTTTTTTCTCTGTAAATTTGGCACCTATTTGGATGGCCAGACTGAAAAAATTTTGTACAGTAAACTATACTCTCAAATAATATTTTTATCAATGATTCATGAATGTTATATGCTACTCTGAAACCAACTGCTAATAAAATAACAATTGTTGATATCATAAGATTTTTATCACTACAGGAATTTGAAATTGTGAATTTTTTATTTTTGTTTCTATTAATTTTTGTAGCTTTTTTCTTTTCATGGTAAGATGTTGATCCATTAAGAAAAGTTGGAGCATTTACCATGAAGATTATTCACAAAACAAAATTGAGTGTTTTTGAGGAAGTTTGGGTGCCCCGTCACCGGGCCCCTTAATGCCCACGCCTCCCTCCTCTCATCACAATCAACTTTATAGTGGTCCAGGACGGACCGAACGTCTTCCTCTCTTCAATTTCTAGTGTGTGTGGTTTGGTCAACATTTTTCAATCACATTATTGTGACTCATCATTTGCATAGGAAATACAGTTCACATTGAGGATACCTAATCGAGTCATGTTGAAGCCCACCGAGGCCTATCTGATACCGACAGTTTATACTCACAGAGGGCAGGCTGAAGCCGAGGCAAAGATGCTCTGTGTGATGTCGTCAAGAACCTTCAGGAGAAACTCTGCATTCGCACACGCATCCATAGGATTATCCATTTTTGTAGGATTGAGCTGTAAGAAAATAACCATTATAGAAATATTCACTTTCCTTCAAATCAGTAAGACATCACAGTCTCAAAGTTAACAAAACTTTAATTAAAATATTACCACTACCACTGTCCCTATTTACACATATTAACTGTCACTGTTCTTGTTAATTCACAATACCTGTCACAGTTCTGGTAACCTCACAATACCTATCACTGCACTTGTTACCTCACACTACCTGCCACTGCCATTGTTATGTCTCAGTATCTGCAAATGCACTTGTTACCTCACAATACTTGCCACTCCTGGTGTTACCTCACAATACTTGCCACTCCTGGTGTTACCTCACAATACTTGCCACTCCTGGCGTTACCTCACAATACTTGCCACTCCTGGTGTTACCTCACAATACTTGCCACTCCTGGTGTTACCTCACAATACTTGCCACTCCTGGTGTTACCGCACAATACTTGCCACTCCTGGTGTTACCTCACAATACTTGCCACTCCTGGTGTTACCTCACAATACTTGCCACTCCTGGTGTTACCTCACAATACTTGCCACTCCTGGTGTTACCTCACAATACTTGCCACTCCTGGTGTTACCTCACAATACTTGCCACTCCTGGTGTTACCTCACAATACTTGCCACTCCTGGTGTTACCTCACAATACTTGCCACTCCTGGTGTTACCTCACAATACTTGCCACTCCTGGTGTTACCTCACAATACTTGCCACTCCTGGTGTTACCTCACAATACTTGCCACTCCAGGTGTTACCTCACAATACTTGCCACTCCCGGTGTTACCTCACAATACTTGCCACTCCCGGTGTTACCTCACAATACTTGCCACTCCCGGTGTTACCTCAAAATACTTGTCACTCCCGGTGTTACCTCACAATACTTGCCACTCCTGGTGTTACCTCACAATACTTGCCACTCCCGGTGTTACCTCACAATACTTGCCACTCCTGGTGTTACCTCACAATACTTGCCACTCCTGGTGTTACCTCACAATACTTGCCACTCCCGGTGTTACCTCACAATACTTGCCACTCCCGGTGTTACCTCACAATACTTGCCACTCCTGGTGTTACCTCACAATACTTGTCACTCCTGGTGTTACCTCACAATACTTGTCACTCCCGGTGTTACCTCACAATACTTGTCACTCCCGGTGTTACCTCACAATACTTGCCACTCCCGGTGTTACCTCACAATACTTGCCACTCCTGGTGTTACCTCACAATACTTGTCACTCCTGGTGTTACCTCACAATACTTGCCACTCCCGGTGTTACCTCACAATACTTGCCACTCCTGGTGTTACCTCACAATACTTGTCACTCCTGGTGTTACCTCACAATACTTGCCACTCCCGGTGTTACCTCACAATACTTGTCACTCCCGGTGTTACCTCACAATACTTGCCACTCCCGGTGTTACCTCACAATACTTGCCACTCCCGGTGTTACCTCACAATACTTGCCACTCCTGGTGTTACCTCACAATACTTGTCACTCCTGGTGTTACCTCACAATACTTGCCACTCCCGGTGTTACCTCACAATACTTGCCACTCCTGGTGTTACCTCACAATACTTGTCACTCCTGGTGTTACCTCACAATACTTGCCACTCCCGGTGTTACCTCACAATACTTGTCACTCCCGGTGTTACCTCACAATACTTGCCACTCCTGGTGTTACCTCACAATACTTGTCACTCCCGGTGTTACCTCACAATACTTGCCACTCCTGGTGTTACCTCACAATACTTGTCACTCCCAGTGTTACCTCACAATACTTGCCACTCCCGGTGTTACCTCACAATACTTGCCACTCCTGGTGTTACCTCACAATACTTGTCACTCCCGGTGTTACCTCACAATACTTGCCACTCCTGGTGTTACCTCACAATACTTGTCACTCCTGGTGTTACCTCACAATACTTGTCACTCCCGGTGTTACCTCACAATACTTGTCACTCCCGGTGTTACCTCACAATACTTGCCACTCCTGGTGTTACCTCACAATACTTGTCACTCCCGGTGTTACCTCACAATACTTGCCACTCCTGGTGTTACCTCACAATACTTGTAACTCCCAGTGTTACCTCACAATACTTGCCACTCCCGGTGTTACCTCACAATACTTGCCACTCCTGGTGTTACCTCACAATACTTGTCACTCCCGGTGTTACCTCACAATACTTGCCACTCCTGGTGTTACCTCACAATACTTGTCACCCCTGGTGTTACCTCACAATACTTGTCACTCCCGGTGTTACCTCACAATACTTGTCACTCCCGGTGTTACCTCACAATACTTGCCACTCCTGGTGTTACCTCACAATACTTGTCACTCCCGGTGTTACCTCACAATACTTGTCACTCCCGGTGTTACCTCACAATACTTGTCACTCCCGGTGTTACCTCACAATACTTGCCACTCCTGGTGTTACCTCACAATACTTGTCACTCCCGGTGTTACCTCACAATACTTGTCACTCCCGGTGTTACCTCACAATACTTGCCACTCCTGGTGTTACCTCACAATACTTGTCACTCCCGGTGTTACCTCACAATACCTACCATTGCCATTCTTATGTCACAGTATCTGTCACTGCTCTTGTTACTTCACAATACCTATCACTTCCATTGTTACCTCACAATACGTGCTTTTCTTAATTTATGTAACTGATCTCCCAGAGTGAGTGAGTTCGTACATGTACATGTTTACAGATGAGACAAAGTTAATGAGGAGAGTAAGGACTGAATAGGACTGTAGAGTGCTGCAAGAATACCTTAACAAACTTCACGAGTGGCCAGATAAATGACTGTTGGAATTCATTATAAATAGTCACGAATTAATGAAAATGGGTAAGGGGGTATAACAGACCTTTATTTAACTATACCATAAGAAGATAATTACAAACAACCAGCGTTGAATGTAGTGAAATGCCATTTTCTGGGCAAGTCCCGGAGGCTCCCCGGAGCTATCCAGGCTGAATGGATGTGTATAACTTTCTGGCATCAGTCAGAGTTCTTCCCTACCAGGGACCACGAGCCAGAACCTGGCCCCCTCAGAGAGGCACGAGGAGCAATGGCCTATAGAAACCCCCCTGTGGTTGGGGGCATTCTATGTTTGCCATCAACCGGGACAGGCACCCAGAAAGGTAGGCGCCCTAAAACAAACCCCTATTCTGGTGAAAATATTGTTACCGAAAGTCGAACGAGTGGGCAGAACTCCCAAACAAAGTTAGCAAACTGGCATGACGTCATCACGTCGCCGTCTGTGCAACCCCGCCCTCTCCCCAGAAGGGGAAAGGGGGAGCCCTAGACCCCTGCACAGGTGATCCAACCGGCAGTTCTTAGGCTGGATGTCAAAATACGCGAAAACCACCGCCGACTGGAGGGAGGAAGGGATGCCGGGAAGACGCCACCACGAAGACGAAGCACGCAGGTGGAAGACCAACAACGAAGCCATCAGTGTCCCACACAAGTGACTAGAATCTCGAGACAAAAACCCCGAGACGCGAAGACACGCGAGGAAAAACGAACCAGCCTCGAACTGGGCTGGACCGATCCGCAAAAAGAGGTGGAGCCACGGGAAGACCCTCAGGATCAGACGCCGAGCAAAGCAGCGCCCCCAACCAAGGCTGGCAAAGAACCAGAAGGAAGGCCCGCCAGGGAACAAAGGAACCCAAGCCCGGCAAGCAGAAATGCCTCATCCGAGAGAACCCCATGCCCCCGGGACCTATGAAGGACCAACAAGGCTGAAAACAGATAACAACGAGAAGAATCCGTTTGCTGAAAGAGCCGAACCGCAGACACCGCAACAGCAAGGACCAAATGGCGACAAAAACCAAAGAGCCAGGGACCAGGCAGAGGCCAACGAGGAAAACGAGCACCACGAACCAAATCGCGGGATGCGAAGCAAAAACAGCGACCCCGCAACCCGCAGGAGCAGCACAACCAGCTCCAGCAGGGAAGACCGATGCACACGTCTCCGAGTTACATAGGAAAACTACTCAGGACGTGTACCGCACGAAAACAAAAAATGTACGATCTGGAAAAGAAACACAAAGAAAAGCCGTAGCCAGGACCATAATCCTAGCTCCTCCCGTCCCAACGAAAAGGACCCGTAGGGGCAGGCGTGGTTGATCGGAAATCTACAACCACCCGCAGACATTGCAAAACAGAAACTGCCAGGGACATACAAGGAAAAATTAAAGAACTGTGTTCCATAACTGAACACAGGGGCAGTCCAAAATCAGGGAACTGAACATGTAGAGAGGCCAACCTAGCACCAACACCAGTACAGTCAATAACCACCTACCAAGATAGACAACGATGAGTAGTATAGAGGTAGGAAAAACGGAAATAGGTAATGAGACACACTAATGTATATATAAGGGTACAGCCAGGCACTGAAAGACAGGCAATGAAGGACGTGTCCAGAGATCATAGGCCGAGGCAATGAATGAGTGTACAGACAGCATGGACCGAGGCAACGAAGGAGTGTCCAGATATTGAGAAAAGATCCAGGCGCCAAAAGAATAAACAAAAGGCACTGAAATTCGGGGCTGCACCCCCAGTGTAACTAAGAACAAGATACACGGACAAAGGAAAGTCACGTAAAGATGTGACTGATAACAGAAAGTTATACATATCCATTCAGCCTGGATAGCTCCGGGGAACCGACGGGGCTCCCCCAAGAAAATATATTTTTTGGACATTGATGAAATTAACAGATATTAACATTGGGCAATATATTTTTACGATATATAATAAAGTAGAGCATAATAACATACCTATTCATTATTATTTGTGTTACTATGTATTACTCAGCAATGCCGTAAAGGCACCAGCTGCATATCCACTTTGTGGATACGTCTTACTACTATTCTTCTTCTTTGAGTGTCAGACAGGTGCTTGCACATTTCTTTATTACTGCATTATCCATCAGTTCCAGTTAATAGGAGCTGTTCTCCTTATCAACAAAACGTTCTTTTTTTTTTTTAAATTTGTCTAAAATCAATTTCTGAAAATGTTTTGATGAAAGTTTTACGACCCTGAAGCCAATAATTTGGAGATTTGTTTAACATTTTTAGATAATTTTTTATATAATTCAAATATTTTTTGCTTCTTGAAAGAGGCGAGAGAGGACTTGGAAGACATGTTCATGGTCACCTGGAGCCCTAAGGAGATTTTCAGGGCCTGCATGGGAAGGAGGGGATAAATCCCTACAGGGAATCCAAGCACTGGGCTTGGATTCTTTTTTGACACATTACCCCATTTGAGACTAATGCATAAGCTGGAGATGCAGGCAGGAGTAAAAGGGGAAGGTACGCCATTGGATAAGGGAATACCTAAGCAACAGAAGACGAGTAACAGTGAGGGGCGAGGTCTCAGAGTGGCGAGGCGTCACTAGTAGTCCCACAGGGATCAGTCCTTGGACCTACCCTGTTTCTGATATATTTAAATGATCTCTAAGAAGGTATATTCTCGTTCCTCTCAATGTTTGCTGATGATGCAAAAATTATGAGGAGGATTAAGACCGAGGATGATAGGAAGAGGTTACAAGATTACCTAGACAACCTGAAGGAATAGTCAAACAAATGACTACTAAAGTTTAACCCAAGTAAAGGTAAGGTAATGAAACTAGGTAGAGGGAACAAGAGGCCAGACACAGGGTGTCAAATGGGAGACAAAGTCTTCAACAAAACAGAAAGAAAGATCTAGGAGTTGATCACGCTAAACCCGTTTCCTGAAGCCCACATCAAAAGAATATCATCAGTGGTGGATGCGAGGCTGGCTAACATCAGAACTGCCTTTAAAAACTTGTGTAAGGACCCATCTAGAACCTTCTACACCATCTTATCTTGAGAAGTTATCTTGAGATGACTTCGGGGCTTAGCGTCCCCGCGGCCCGGTCCTCGACCAGGCCTCCTCTTTGTTATACACCCCTCAGGAAGCAGCCCGTAGCAGCTGTCTAATTCCTAGGTACCTATTTACTGCTAGGTAATAGGGGCATCAGGATGAAAGAAACATTTTGCCCATTTGTCTCCGCCTCCACCGGGGATCGAACCCGGAACCTCAGGACTACGAATCTGAAGTGCTGTCCACTCAGCTGTCAGGCGCCCCAATATAACAATATATGCAAGACCAATTTTTGAGTATGTGACTTTAGCATTGAGCCCATACCTTGTTAAGCACAGGATGAAGCTGGAGAAGGTTTAAAGGTTCACTACACTAGTCCCAGAACAAAGAGACATGAGTTATGAGGAAAGGCTGTGTGAACTGCACCCCCAGATCACTAGAAGACAGCAGAGTTCGGATAGATATGATCACCACATATAAAAGTCTCGGGGAAATTGACAGGGTAGATTAGGATGGGTTATTTAACATGAGTGGTACTCGCACAAGGGGACACAGGTGGAAGCAGAGTACCCAAATGAGCCACAGACATTAGAAAGAACTTGTTCAATGTCAGAGTAGTTAATAAATGGAATGCATTAGGAACTGATGTGGTGGAGGATGACTCCATACACAGTTTCAAATACAGATATGATAGAGCTCAATAAGCTCAGGAACTTGTACATCAGTAGACTGACAGGTGGGAAATGGGACCAAAGAGCCACATCTCAACCCCTGCAAGCACAACTAGGCAAGTATTGATCTTGTTACCAAACAATACAAGCCCTTGCCATTGTTACCTCACAATACCTGCCACTTCCCTTTGTTACCTTAAAATACATACCACTGCTCGTGTTACCTCACAATACCTGCCACTGCCCATTTTACCACACAATATCTCCCACTGCCCTTGTTATCTCAATACCTACCACTGTTCTTGTCACCTTACAATATCTGCCACTGACTATTTTACCTCAATACCTGTCACTGCCATTGTTACCTCAATACCTGCCACTGCCCCTGTTACCTCACAATACCTCTCAAGTAATTGTTACCTCACAATACTTGCCACTACCCCTGTTACCTCACAATACCTGTCACTGCCCCCTGTTACCTCACAATACCTGTCACTGCCCCCTGTTACCTCACAATACCTGTCACTGCTGGTTATGTTCAAGAAATGATTCCTCTCACCGAAGTCTTACCTCACACGACTGTTTAGACTCAAGGATGCGGTGGATGGTATCAGATATGGCTTCTGTGAGGAACTCTGTGCAGGTGGACTTCATGTAGAGGTCAAGTAGTGTGGTGGTGAGGGAGGCGGCACGGAACAAAGTACTAGTCTCATGCTCTCGTTCAATCTCGTGTTCAGTTAGTCGCTGGAGTAGGTCATGCTCCCGACACTCATTCCTGTAGCACAATTTATCTCCTAAGTCAGTTTAATGGCTCCCAGGTCAACCACACATTGTTATGGCCACAAACAACAAATAAGAACAACAGGCATTGAATGTAATGAAAACTCAATATCTGGGTGAGGCCCTTTGGCTCCCTGAAGCTACCATCTCCTTAGTAAGTGCCATCAGTCGCAGAGTTCTCTGGCCTACTGAGGACCCTGGGCCAGAACCTGGTCCCCTCACAGAGGTGAAGGAAGCTATGGCATTTATATATTAAGTTATTCATTTATGCCACCACCTGGGAAGGCCCCCAGAAAGCCAGCGAGTCAAAACATAAAACATCTGTCTGCCTCAGTGACCCCTCAGGCTCGAAACCTGCCATAAAACTCCCCAAGCTATGTATACAAATGATCAAAAACGTTATAAGCCAGCATGTGCTCATTCACACTGCCCTCGTTTGGGGGGAGGAGGGGAGGGGGCCATTCCAGCCGAAAGGCATGCACCTTGAGGGCATGGCAGTGCTTAAAAAGTAAGACGCTGAGACCAAGCAAATGCGTAGAGGTCCATATATGGGTGACAGAATGTCTAGCAGAGCCAGAGGAAGCAGACGGCATCGACGGTTCAATCCGTGGAGACAGGATAGAACCGGGACAGACCGTCAATAATGACGTTGGACAATCCCAGGACGTCAATGGCACAAAGAGCCAAACCCCTAGAACCCAAAAGAGCTACACACAGCATCCAGCTCCAAAGAGGCAGACACCAAAGTGACCTCCAACCCCCGGTTGAGACAATAACTATGGAAGAACAGGTCGAATAGAGCCGGACTACGTAGCCTGTAGGATTCCGTATCCTCCACAGAGTATGCCACACAGCCACAAACTCCTGCACCGTGCTGTGAGCCCAACAAAAAGGGGAGACAAATGCCCCTGACCAGCCTGATGATAGCTGGTGACAAAGACCCAGACGAGAGCCGAGGCATCAGTAAAGATGCCAAGCGCGAGTGGAAGGTGTTAGGGAACCAAACCCTATAAAGCCCGAAAACGAAATCGACAACACAGCAGCCAACATAGGTCCAATGGCATCCAAACTCAATGGTCGCAGTTGGGCCAAAAGATAAACACCGGAGGAAACACAGCTTCCGAAGCCAAACTCTGCCCAAGGGGTGAACCAGGAGGGCAAAGTTGAGGCTTCTGCACAGCCACACAAGTAACTGCTAAGTCAACCGAGATCGAGTCAACACCAAAAGATGGCGGTGCTGCAGCCAGGACAAGGTTGTCAGAGGTAGGGACTGAGAGTCCCAAACGATGCCCAACCAAGTCTGGACCAACTGGGACTTCCGCTAATTCACCAGGAACCTGAACCCGGCGAGCTGAGAAAGAACCAGATATCTGGCTAGCAGGCTGGAAACCCAAACCAGTCAGTTATGGAGGAAAGCCATAACCTAAACACCCAAGAGAATAAGGTTGGTCACCACGACCCAAGCTAAGAGAGCAAAAAACACGCGGAGCCGGAAATAGGCCGAATGGGAGAATCCAGAAGCCGCACCACAAATCATAACTAATCTCTGAACCTTGCACAGATAGTAACACACCAATGTGTGTCCAAGAGGTAAAAGAAAAGAACCCAAGCGCCCAGCTCGAGAGTGAGACAGACTTGGGACAAAGCTGGCTCCGGGAAAGGGTCAAGGAAGAAACAGAGTCAACTGCGAGAGGTCAAACAAGAACTGGAAATGACCCAATGAAGATGTGGAGAGGAAGTCAGCCAGGACAGACCCAAACCTCCCAAAGGAAAAGGGAGTAACCAAATCCACCAAAAGCCGACAGAAATGACCCGAAAGGTCCATCAAGCATGGGACTAGGCTCAGGCAAACAGGCCAGCCGCCCCCACACTACCCTGCCAAAGGAGTGAACCGTGATAAGGTTGGCGTGAACCCTGAGAAGCCATCTCACAAGCAGAGCAAGCACCCCATCAACTAGACACGAAAGAAGCAGCTATAGGAAGGTATGCACACCCTGGTCAATGGCTTCACAGATGGCCCACCTCAACCACTACCAGGTGCAGCCTCCCCCACCCAAACAGACTCAAAAAATTAAAAAAAGCCCTGCTGAAGGAAGAAACTCTGAATACAATGACAGTGCACAGGGGCAGAAGACTATAACCAAGTCACTGCATCCCCTGGGAAGAGGAGCGGAGAAGAGGCTGAAAGAACAGTGAGGGCCCAAGCTAAATCCAAAGGAGTAAGCACAGCCAGCTGACATGCAAGCAATGCAGAGAAGAACATGACCACCACATCCCACAGAAGGGAAGCACACAGCTTCAAAAAAGCTGCAGACGGCATTAAAAACCCCACAAGAGAACTACCCTTGAGCATACCCATGACCTTTGGAAGCCAGATGGAATGCAGCTCAATGAGACTCAGAAATGCATGACATAGCCCAGGAGCTGAATGGCACAAAGGCCAAGTGCCACAACTGATGCCGACAGCAAGGAACATGCACACAAGGAGCTGAAGCACTCCTCCACCCAAACACTGCCAGCCAAACAGGCAGCATGAAGGGATGCATAAGAGAGGCCCTTATGCCCGCCAAAATATTTGAAACATGCTCACAAGAGTGCACCCCTCAAGCGAGTGAGGCTAGCAAAACAAAGCACCAGGGAAACAGGAGAAAATAAAGGAAGGTCCACTAGAGCCTGGTAGACTCTGGAACCTTGCAATACACCCAACAGGGAAAGAGGATTTGAACACAAATAAGTTCAAGTTCAACTGCACAACCGGGCTACACAGGAGGCACAAAAATGCCCCACGAGCTCTGAAGGGGAACCTGTGAAGAAGGAAACCTCCAAAAAGATGTCCCCAACATACTCAAAGACACCCGGAGGCAAACCCAGGGGAATAACTGCACACAAGAAACCCCACTCCCATTAACCAAAGACCTTCCACAGAAGATGCTTGGAACCACAAAGGGTCAAAGAGGACTATGGCCCCAACTCTGACTTACCCAAAGCCTAAGAAACTGCAGCTCTGCCCTGCCTCGGGGGCAGAGCTGCAGTTTGCAGTAAGGGAAGCAGCAGCAGTAGTGGAAGAGGACCGAAAGGAAAGCGAACCACGCTCAACAGGAGGGAAGATGAAGCACAGTTGGAGCCAAGGCCGAGGACCAACACCTCCAAGACCAAGACTCGAAAAACAACCTGGGGCAGCCCCGGGACTTCCAAACGAGCACAAAATGTAGACTGCTGTAACTAAGAACCTAAAACAAAGAGTGGTCGCCGCCTGATATGCCTGAGCATAAACATGAGGGCAAATAAAAACAGTAACATGATGGGAACACATCCCACTTGATTCGAAGGTGCCACCAACTCAACAGTGAGGGGGGGGGGAGGCAAAATGAACGTCACCTTGTGGTACAGATGACGAACGACTCTTATCTCACCAGAAGCGTGAGTGGGGTCGGGGGCCTCTCAGAGGCCCCCAAACCCACAGGGAATTACCAGGGCCTGAAAAGTACAAGCCAAGCAGGACACACAGGCACTGGGACGCAAGGCCGGTACTCTTAAAATTTCTATGTAAATTACCCCAGCCTGGCTAAGATGGCTGGAAAAGCCTTCCTTGGTGCACCGAAGTGCAGAATGTGTATAACCAGTGTGCCTCACCAGCCAAGGCACTCCAATCAGGTGAAAGATGGAAGTGAAAACCCCCCAGACTCACCCCAAGGCGAAGGCTGCCATAAGCGAGGTGGACCTCTAAAGGAACTCCACCCAAACACTTCAGGAAAGAAAACCCTGGAAATGTAAGAGAAGGCCAGAGTGACTGTGGTAGCTTTGGCACACATCAAAGTTGAACTGAGGGTGAAGTGGCTCATGAGTCGTGGCCTGCCAATGAGCAGGCGCTGGCTTATAACATTTTCGATTGTATGTTACATAGTTTAAGGAGTTCAAAGGCCAATTTAGAGCCTGCAGATCTTGGAGGCAGCCAGCTGTAGTTTGTTTTGACTTGCCGACTTTCTGGGAACTTTCCTCGGTGATGGCATTAATTAATAACTTAATATATATAAATGCCACAGCTCGCTTCGCCTCTATGAGGGGACCAGGTACTGGGTCCCTGGTAGGTCAGAGAACACCATGACTGATGGCACCTACATCGCAGATGGTAGCTTCGGGAACCACAAGGGTCCCCCCCCCCCCCTTGAGAAATGCAATAGATGGAAACTCAACATTTTAGAAGGAAACACAAGATTATAGCACTAAACAAAAACTTCAGAAAAAATTTGATTAATTAGAATGTTAGAAAATGGAGTGGAAGGTTTTGACGATGGCATTCCAACACATTGTTGTTTTTACCTAAATATACGAAGTAAGGAGGTAGCAAGAGGGTTGCGGTCCCTGTGAGAGACGTCGGCCAAGGCTTGAACCGCCTCAAGGCTGGGATCCAGCAGTAATTCCTTCAAACTGTTATACTCTTCACATGGCATTATCAGATCATGGAAGTACCTAAGGATAAACAACTTTTCAATGGGTTTATTAATAAAATATAAAATGAAGATATTGCAATACAGGTATATATATATATTCATGTGGGATTTTAATCCTTTATATTACCTAATTTATTGACAGCCTGTGGCAGCCACCCAAACAGCCAAAGCTCAACCCTCGCAAGCACAATTAGGTGAGTACCCACCAAAAGCAAGATAAGAAAGTGAGTAGATCTCATGATCTATCACACACTAGGCAAGTACCTAAAAACTCAGTTGTCCTAAAGCTGAGCCAACCATTAACTCATAAACCATCTAAACCAAACAATAAGTTTAAACTCAAAATTTCAGACCAATACATGCTGCCTGTCATCAAAGAGGGTTTCATTATATCTAACTTGAAAACCGAGCTATTAGCAGCTAGTAAGTAATATTTCAATTTGTCCGAGCCTGAGCTTGTTTCAAGCTTCAACTTGATATGTACGTTACTCACTTACAGCCTATTGTATATTTTATTTAAATAAAACCTGTGCTCCTCACTCCTGGACTATGAGACAAAACATCACTTAGTAAGTTGTTTGTCTCGGAGAGATGCAAAGCTGCTCAGGCCATACCAGTGTTATTGGTTAACTAATAGCTTGGGCTGAGGCAACTACCAAAAAAAGCCTTGCATAGATTAAAAAAAAAATCATAAATGCTTACAGTGCAAAAATTTGTATGGTATTAGTTGTAACTGATACTACTGGGATTACCCAGTAGGTCCAGGGCAAGTGTGTATAAAGTTAGAGCATTATACTGGGATTAAACACTGGGTTCAAGGTAATTCTACATGACCAAAATATTACAGGGAATCACTTGAAATTTTGGGATAACAATAGCATTATGTGAATTAAGCAAAAAATTATAAGGTATACCTTTTAGGCTGTCTAATAATTAGGTTAATAACCTTAATGTATAGAATGGAAGAGGCTGAAGCTATAGCATCTTGGCTGTAGTAGACAAAGATGAAGCTAAAACTATGTGATGGTGGTCACATCTTGTGGTGTGAGCATTCTCACCTGTATCTTAGCCTCACAGCCCCCCAATCCCCCACCGGTGTGATACCAGTCAAAGGGTGCCACTCCTCCACTTCTTCACCATTTTGTAGTGTGTGTAGTTCCACCGTGACCTCCGCCACCTGCAAGCAATCTCATATTCAACTGCCTTTTCATAAAAATAATTTAGCCCCAAGAAAAGCTTGCCCATGAAATACCATTACCAGTCTGAAAGTTTAACGTTCTGTTAAACTAAAGTATGGTTCAACCTCAATTCAATTAACTATATAGGACCAACACCAATTTATTTCATTGAGGGATTCATTGCAACTGGAGATGCCTCCAAGATGCATTTCCCATACTGTACGTGCTAATTTTCATTTAGTGAAATTTCCATTTCAAGCTAAAATATGATAAATAACTACCAAATGAACATGTCTGTAGAGAAATTTATCCACATTTAGCTTATTTATCATGTCCCCCAACCTCAAAACTTATTTTCAAAGGCAGTATGGCCTTTTGATATGATCTGAGTATACCTGGGCGAATGAAAACTCTTGCCAATTCAAAAATTAAAATGGAGCATAGAATTTTGGTTTCAAATATCTGCAATAGCTTATAGCTTTCCTAAGGCTTCAACTATTTCTTGTTGAGTGTTCATCTGCAAAAATCATTAACACTTTCGTGCTTTGGGGCAAGCGCTAGACCACCCCAAGGTGGGCAGGGCATTCCATGCAGGTGCGCGGTAATACTGAAAAGTGACTCTTCAATTTTGTCACCAAAATTCTCATCCTAGGTTTTTCATTTGGTATCAATGTGTTCGCAATAGAATTCCATACAGGAGTATATGCATATAAAGTCCAAAAGCCCGGCGTACCATCCCACATCAAACCGAGAAATTGGCCGTGTTTTATCCATGAGCGCGCAAGAGCAATAAAATGTGTATACTCAGGGGGTTCACTTTGGTCACCTCAATTCTCTTCCTAGGTCTTTCATTTTGGTATCAATGTGTTCGCAATAGGATTCCCTATAGGAGTATATGCATAGAACCCACAGCCAAGCTGAAAGCAGGCCAAAATTTTTAATTTTTGACACTGTACAGCATCGTCCCCGAGCGAAACTGTTAAAAACATGATTGGAGCCATATTAAGTGTTACCATTCATACCCATATCAGTAAGGCATCAGTAATTTTGTCATAGTGCTCAAGTACCTGCAAAAGGCATGGTCTTACCATGGTAAATCCATATTGGCCTGAGCTGTGGAGGTCATTGGTCTCCATGAAACTGGAGACCTAACTCCTGATCACTCTCTCAAATACTTTTATTATGTGGGACATTAGTCCAACTGGTCTATAATTCTAAGCCAATGCTTTGCTCCCTCCCTAGTGTAGAAGAGCTGTATCTGCTGACTTAAGCACATCTGGTATCTCACCGTGTCCAAGCTCTTCCTCCACACTATACTGAGTGCCTGTGCTACTGGCACTTTGCATTTCTTCATAAATATTGAATTTCATGAGTTTTCATGTTTATTTAATCCCAGTACTGTATATCCTTTTATTATTAAAATTGAATTGATTGAATAACCTCTCTTGCTTGATCATTGTTTTAGGTCTATTACAAGTACTGATGTTAGTTTACATTTCAATGTAAATGTGATCTGAGTTGTGGTACAGAATCTAAGAATATAATTTCCTGATAATGTCTTCGTGTTTGTGAAGATCAGATCTAGAATACTTCTGTTTTTAGTTGGTTCTGTTATCTGCTGGTTGAGTGAAAATTTGTCACAGACTCTTACAGTAGTTCTCTAATCTATGGTTGGTTATGTCCAGATAGATTTCCTGGTGCTGTATAATATTATTGTTTGCTATTCTCAATCTTTATGCTTTACAAGGCGCAGATTCCATTCAAGTGACGTGTATTCCATACTTAAAAAATCACAGTAACGTGATTTTCGCATGTGTATTCCAGTACTGGTCAAACATATGTTGTGTAGATTGCTTTGAAGGAGTCTTGATTCAGGTTCCAAAATGACGCTCTTACATTTGCCAGCGTCCCATATGCTGCCAATGTTATCTTGTATGCGAGTGTGCGCGTCTCCAGTGTGAGTGTCGTCATTATATTCACTCCCAGATCTCCATCTTCCTAATTCCTGTAGGTGCCTTCCCCGTATGGTGCAGATGCCTTCTGATCTTCTCTCCCCTTTTCCCATTCTCATTACCTTTCACTTGTTGAGATTGAAAATTTAATTCCAGCAACCATTTGTCTGACCACTTCCAGAATTTGCCAATGTTTTCCTGTAACTTTCTGCAGTCCTCATCAGCATTGCATCATCTGCAAATATTGACACGTCTGAGCTCACTCCCTCGGGTAGGTCGTTCACATAAATTAGGAACTGCACTGGTCTCAGGACAGAGCCTTGTGTGACCCCACTTGTTACATCACACCAGCTTGAAACCACCTCTCTGGATGTGATTCTTTGCTTTGTGTCCATCAGATACTCTCTTCCCTAATTCATTGTTTTCCCAGTTATTCCAGTCTGGTTCTCCACCTTGTACAGCAGTCTTTCTGTTACGGCCTCACTTAGCCAGTAACCGGGTTCTTTACATTTCAAACTTTATATGAGGCCTTAGAGCCTCTTCTTACCAGATCCAACCACAAATCATAAGTAAGTTATTAAGAGCTGGCAATAATAGTCAATCAAACGAGACTGGGAGGTAAACAGCACTAAACAAAACCATTACTATGTGTACTTCTTAACTATACACACTTCTTACATATGTACATAACACCTCAGGCGTTACTTTCACACAGGACACTACAAAAGAACATCTGTGATCTTCAATCCCAGCGAGTCCACCTCTATCTTCTATCGTACAACACTGGAGGTACCTTCCCTGAGCCTTTCGTCAACAGTACTCACGCTGGTGTGTCCACCTTTCTCAGTAAATCACGAACCATTCCTCTACAGTAGCGTCACGGCAACACCACTTCTACTCTCCAGCAAAATGCTGGCAGGTCTCCAGCAACACACTGGCTGACTTCCACACAGGCTTCAACTAGAACAACCCATAACGGATGGACATTAACATCTACATGGCCCATGACCCAAGTGGGCTGTGCAGATGCTTTTGCACCATCCTACATCATCATGTGGCTCTCCGGACATTTCACTATCACTGCTCAAAATACGGGGTACAGCAAAGTGGGTTCAGATAGTGAAACGATGCTCGAATGTGGCCGTTCAGATAGACGAGTGTTCATATAGTGGGCATCCATATAACGGGGGACTCGGTATACTATAACAGACTTTTCATTCTATGCAATTACAGAATTTAAAGCTTCAGAGACATATTCCATTGAAATCCGTATAAAACCCATGATACAAATCTCATCCAATCTACAGGTGGTATTGTCACAACACTAACTAGTGCTGATCACACTGCAGAATTGTAGCTATAATCAATTTTCAATAACTGCTATAATTACCAGCTGTGGTTATTATTACACTGTTAACAAATACATGCTTAATGTGATGACAAAGACATTGGTACCCACCTCTGAATCTTTGCTGCGCTTCCCATGGTTATATACAGTAATGGTGAACATGATGACATCGGCAGGAATTTCATCTAATATAAACTCTTCATCCCACACTGGATCTGGTCCCGGTTTTGGTCTGGTTCGACAAACTTTAACCTGAGTGACAAAGTACTGAGTAGTTATAATTGTCACCGTGAATTTTGTGAAAAAAAAGAAAGAAAAAAAAAAACAGCATTGAATACAATGAAATGCTTCTTTCTGGGGAAGTCTCAGTGGCTCCCTGTTGCTAGCCACACTGAGACAGTTCTGCATGCTGTATAGAGTGTGTGTCACGCTAGCAAGTCACACTAGTGAGTTACTGTGAGGGTTGAGGCCTCAGATTGGCGAGACGTCACCAGTGGAGTCCTACAGGTATCAGTCCTTGGACCTATACTGTTTCTGATGTATATAAATGATCTCCCAGAGGGTACAGAATCGTTCCTCTCGTTGTTTGCCGATGATGCAAAAAATATGATGATTAAGACGGAGGAAGATAGTATAAGGCTACAAGATGACCTAGACAAACTGAATGAATGGTTCAACAAATGGCTACTAAAGTTCAACCCGAGTAAATGTAAGGTAATGAAACTAGGCGGTGGAAACAGGATGCCAGACACAGGATACCGAATGGGACATAAAGTACTTCATGAAATGGACAGAGAGAAAGATCTAGGAGTTGACATCACACCAAACCTGTCTCCTGAAACCCACATAAAAAGAATAACATCTGCTGCATATGCAAGACTACGCCACAGATGTTATCAGAACTGCCCTCAGGAACTTGTGCAAGGAATCATTCAGAACCTTGTATACCACATATGTAAGAGCAATCCTGGAGTATGCAGCCCCAGCATGGAGCCCGTACCTTGTCAAGCACAAGACAAAGCTGGAAAAAGTTCAGAGGTATGCCACTAGGCTAGTCCCAGAACTAAGAGGCATGAGTTACGAGGAAAGGCTCCATGAAATGCACTTCACGACACTGGAAGACAGAAGAGTAAGGGGAGACATGATCACTACCTACAAAATTCTCACAGGAATTGACAAGGGTAGATAAAGATAAACTGTTTAAAACGGGTGGAACGCAAATAAGGAAACACAGGTGGAAACTGAGTACCCAAATGAGCCACAGGGACATTGAAAGAACTTTTTCAGTGTCAGAGTAGTTAACAAATGGAATGCATTAGGCAGTGATGTGGTGGAGGCTGACTCCATACACAGTTTCAAATGTAGATATGATAGAGTCCAGTAGGATCAGGAACCTGTACACCAGTTGATTGACAGTTGAGAGGCAGGACCAAAGAGTCAGAGCTCAACCCCCGCAAGCACAACTAGGTGATTACAACTAGCCCCAGGAGCCCTTAAATAGCCTACACAAGACCAGAGGCCAAAACCTGATTGCCTTCCCCTTCACAGGGACACAGTGAGCAGGGAATTCATGATCACCTTCACCAAGGAAACATACCCCCAGAAATAATGCAACTCAAAACAGACAATTGTGAGGGTTCACAGAAAGTAAATAAACAATGCAGCAAATAAATCGACAAATGATCCAACCAGTAGTTAGGTCATACCTGCTCTATTCATAATTTTAAATCTTACAATATTCTAACAAGAGTAATATGCTGGTGTGCGCACACTCTTCCTCCATAATATCACAGTGTGTGCAGTACACTGGTTAAGGGTTGACACAGTAACTGGAATTAACTTTTTATGTGAGAAAGAAATTTACATCCATGACTTAGTAGAGGACTTTACAGTGAAAATGTTTCTAACAAGAAAGTCAATACAGATTATGCATTCCATTTTCACGTTTCTGACTTACCTGGTTAAGAGAAACAAGGCAGTATGGGCTGGGAACTATCTTAGAGGGTAATCTGGTAGCCTGCATAATAGTGAGATGCAGTGACTTCATGAATTTAAGCGTCTGCAGCTTGGGTGCTCCTACCATCTGTGGAACACACAGCGGCCGCAGCACAGCCATCCAGTCGTTGGTCATTTCCTGAAATGCAAGTATATTTAAACAGTACAAAAACATTTTAACAATAATCACAAACAAAATAATGAACAAATTGGTATAAATAAATAAACAGCATGCATATATGAAGTAAAAACCAAGCGTTGAATGTACAGTGCAACATCAATTCAATGAACTATATGGGACCAAACCCAATTTGCTGCAGTGAGGGATTTGTTGCAACCGGAGATGCCTCCAGGAAGCCCTTATTTGTGAACGAAAACTGAGAATTCTCAAAATTACAACGAACTATAGAAAATAGTTGTAAATATGCTCAATGACTTTCCCAACACCTTAACTCCTACTTCTAATGTTGCATCCAGCTACAAAAATTATTAAAAGTGAGACTGGAGCTAAACTAACAGTTACCTGCTTGATACCTGCTTAAATGGGGCTCTGGGAGTTCTTCTACTCCCCAAGCCCGGCCCGAGGGCAGGCTTGACTTGTGAGAGTTTAGACCACCAGGTTGTTGCTTACAGCGGCCCGCAGGCCCACATATCTACCACAGCCCACTTCTTGGAGAAAATTATCTAGTTTCCTCTTGAAGATGTCCACAGTTGTTCCGGCAATATTTCTTAACACTTTCGCGCTATCTGAACGCGCCGGCGCGTCCGGTTTCGTCTAACGTAAACGCATAGTGGACATAAAGTTATGTCAACTTTTAAAATATTTGTATAAAATTCAATTTTTATCCGATTTACTTTGGGTTTGTTTTAAACTGCGCGCTATGAGGCTCTCTTTCTCACCACTAGGCTGCATGGTACAATAAGTTCATGAAAGGTGTGGATAACTTCGATCAAATGGTATTTTGTCCCAAACGGGTTGCAGGTGGGTGACTTTAGCTGTTTATACTGGTAATGCTTCCCCCATATCATGTATTATATGCATATGTCTGTTTAGGGAATTTTATTCCGATCAATATACAACCAAAAATAACTGTGTGCAACAAGTATAAACTTGACAAACATAACAAAAGTAAAAACATTTCGTGTGTGTTTGACGCTCACTGATATGTTCCAGCGTTGTTTTATATTTGGCGCTATTCTAACTTACGCTTTGTTGATATTTTTTACCTATGGGCACATAGAACATTCTATTGCGAACACATTGACACAAAAATGAATGACGTACATAGAAAATTAATGTCATGAGAGTGAAATAAGTATAAACTTTCAAAGCGCCGTGCGTCGTCCCGTCACCGATACCGGGTAACAATTTCACCACTTCCCACACTCTTGCGGGCGGGCCGCAATCATTATTCTACGCTTATATTCATATCACCGTGTTGGGAATTTCATTGCGAGTCCATTGATACCAAAATTAACGCTGTAGAACAAGTGTGGAGGTGATTACAATCCCAAGAGTAAAAACATTTTGTTGCTGATGGGCGCTCACGGCGAGTCATCTTCGTAGTTATTTATTTGGTGCTGGTATCCCTATACGTTTCGTGACTTTTTTTTACTGATGTTCTTCTAGAGAATTTTATTGCGAACACGTTGGTACCAAAATGAAATACGTAGCATGAGAACTAAGGTCAGAAGAGTAAAAAGAGTATACACATTTTTGTTTTTACGCTTAAGCGATAAAAACGCAGCGCGCACATTCAGTTGGCTGAGTGACCTTTGCGGAGAGCGCGAAAGTGTTAATAGTTGCTGGGAGGATGTTGAACAACCGTGGGCCTCTGATGTTTATAGTGTTCTCTGATTATGCCCATGGCACCCCTGCTCTTCACTGGTTCTATTCTGCATTTCCGTCGCGACCCAAACCGTCGCGAACTCCTGCACCGTGATGAGAGCCCGATGGACGGACTGAGCCCAACGCCCCTTGCTGGCCTGGTGAGCACTGGTCACAAAGCCCAAGCCGAGAGACAAGGCATCAGTGAACACATCGAGCGAGGGCTCGGGGGAGGTGCCAAGGCACTGAACCCTGAACAACCCGAAGAGGAAGTCGGCGACACGCGAAAACACAAGGTGCCAAATTCAAGCCGAAAGGCAGGCAACGAAAGCGGTAAGCCTGCAGCCCCACCACGAAACATAACCAGTCCTTGAACCTCCTTGAACCCCAGATGAATTGGGACGTGCCAATATGCGTCCCAGAGGTTCAAAGACACCATCCAAGCACCACCTCCAAAAGCTGGACCTGGGATAGAGTGGTCATCCAAAAAGAGGGGCAAGAAATCCAGGTAACTGTCATCCTGAGACAAGGGCACAGAGCAACCTTCAAACTCGCACAAGGCGAGTTGGAACTCTGAAGATGCATCCATCGGTCAAATGAGCCCCAACGGGGATTTCCAGGACCCGCAGGCTGACTGCTACGGGAAGCCCAGGCAAGGTACTGCAAAACCAGTTAGGCCCAAACTAACACTGGAAAACTGCTAAAAGCTAAACCCCTGCAACATGTATAATCACAGGGGGCCTAGAGGAGGGCCACCAAAATAACAAAAGTGGACCAATAGCCAAACAAGGCAGATTCCATCCAGGAAAGGAAAACAAGGAGAAAAGAAAAACACCTGCAAAAGTACAATGTCCTCAGAAGGAACAGAAACCTGCCGCCGCATAGGAAGGCAAGCTGCGCAGTACCTTGCGCCCCTACCAGCAAATGATACCAATACCTACCCAAGGGCAGGGCAATTGCCGAGCAGCAAAAACTCCTATTGAAGCTGTTCCCAAAAGCTCTGTGGAAGATAATCCTAGAACCCAAGGGTAGTACTTACAGGGCGCTCAGGGATGATAGCCCTAAGCGCAAGCAGGCTAGTATTCTTGAAGTTTCTCCAGACCACTGCACCACACAGCAGAACACATCACTAAGGTACACAACTACCAAGAATCTGAGGCCAGAGTTGTCGACCGCCCCAGATTGCATCAGCCAATGAACTAGAGTTGATGAGTAGCCGACGCAGAGGATCTGGGGTTCCCCCCCTCATCCTCCCGGGGAGGGTAGGGCTACGCAGATAAGAGGCGCGGCGGCGGGGTGTGAGTTTTGTTTGTTTTTAGGTTGGGGAGTTCTGCCTCTCTGTTCGGTCTTCGGTTGCAATTTTCTTACCATGTGGGGTCTGTTTTGTTATGCCTACCTTTCTGGATGTTAACCTCGGACAATGGCAGACATGGAATGCCCCAAGTACAAGGGGGTTTCCATAGGCCATTGCTCCCTTTGCCTCTCTGAGGGGGGCCAGGTTCTGGCTTGTAGTCCCTGGTAAGCTGAACTCCAATTGACTGATGCCCTAGACTAATATATCGCATATCAGTCCAATAGCTCCAGGAAGCCAGAGGGGCTCCCAACAGAAAACCCCTACACTAAACAGCGGCCACGGAGAAACATCAGCACGCCTAAGCACTAGCTGAAGAGCAGGCAGCGCCGACCGCAGTGTGCCCCACCAACTGGCTGACTGGAACACTACTGGTAGAACCTGCCACCACAACATCAGCAACAGAAATGGCATGTCAGCTATGGACTTGGACCGGGTTGCCTTAAAGTGGCCATCAGTGCTAATGAGTTTCCAGTTAGCTGTAGTAAATCCCATGTTCAGTGCAAATTCTTTGCAGAGTTGGTAAGCTGTTTCAAGGCATGGTTTCCTATGAATGCTCCTATGGTCTGTAAAGCTTGGCCAACTTTCTGGACGCTCTCCCCGTGAGGTGGCAAATTTTCACTCGCTGCTTGTATCTCTATGAGGGGATTAGGTTCTATCTGTGGTCCCCCAGTATGCCAAAGAAAACTTCCATGACTGATGTGACCTTTAAGAATGGAGCAATCTCAACAAGATAGCTTCGGGGAGTGATTGGGGGTTTCCACCAGAACAGATAAGGGAGTAATATATTCATAATTATATAAGACCATAGTAATTCAACAACCCTAACAAAATTCAACACTTACCTGAGAGTCTGAGCACAGGTAGGTCACTGTGGCCAAGCAGGGTAGTTCCCGCTCCACTAGTTGAAAGCAATTTGGTCGCTCAAAGAAACTGTCATGAACTTGATACAGGTAAGAACAATTTAAATCAATTAGGCCTCTTGGTTTAGTGCGCTGAAAACAAAAACAAAAATATATATATACATATATAAATTTATATTAACAAGAAAATATTAAACTTTTTTTTAAGAATGAGATCACCTGAAAACATTAACTGGCCAAGTACATGAAGATTTGTAAATGTCAGATAAATATAAGTGTTTCTTGGTGTACAAGTAAGAGGGTGATGGGGAAGGACAAAGAATGCAAGCCAGATGACTCAACAAAATTTCATTACATAGGATAGTGAAAATAGTCGTCCTGGTTAGCAGACTGCCCGCTCTTCTCGTTGGAGGCTTGGCACACGTTCTGTTGGTCCCGCGCGCTTGAGTGGAGGGAGGCTCAGACAGGGTTGCAGGTTTTCCTGGGGGCAAATTTGAGTATCTCAATGCATGTTTGTTCTTGGTTGATACCTGGTTGATGGAGTTCTGGGAGTTTTTCTACTCCCCAAGCCCGGCCCAAGGCCAAGCTTGACTTGTGAGAGTTTGGTCCACCAGGCTGTTGCTTGGAGCGGCCCGCAGGCTCACATATCCACCACAGCCCGGTTGGTCCGACACTCCTTGGAGAAAATGATCTAGTTTTCTCTTGAAGACGTCCATGGTTGTTCCGGCAATATTTCTTATAGTTCGCCCCTGTCCTCCTGTGGAATGTTGGTGTGATGCAGCTTCATGTGCAGGTTCCTTCCCTTTCGGTTACCTTAGAAGTGGAGGATTTGCATACACATGGCCTGCTGGCTTCGGCCCTGCGTTTCTTCTCCCTCCTCAAGTTGTCCTTGGATTGGCTTGAGTTGGATGTGGAGAAGCTTGGGGCCGCCTCTGTGTTTGGTGTGTTACCCTCTGTGGTGCGTGCATCGTCTGCATTGTTGAAACTGTTAACGCCACTCCTACGGGATGCAGTTTTGCGGTTTTTGCTTCTCGACTCGTGTATCAGCAGGTGGTGCTAGATGCCATCCTATGTTGGACTTGTAAGTACTTCAGGGGGCTCGTGGGGGGCCTTTCATGGAAGGGTCGTGCCAGGGCTCGGGTTCTTCCCATTGCGGTAGGCCAGTGGTGCCAGATTCGGGGCAGGCTTTCGTTACAATCTTTTTCTGATTGGCGTGGGGCTCACCCTGTGTGCCACTTAGGCCGTTAACCCCAAGGGTTTGTGTGGCTTTGTCAGCTGTTCTGGTTCCTTCAGGGATGCCCCTTCCGCCTCTCTTGTGACTGCTGGGTTCAGCCTTCGGGGGCTTTACGTCAGATGATGGGTCACCGGCTTCCTCTTCGGGTTTTTCGGGGTTCAGTGCCTTGGCGCCTACGTGTGCCCTCGCTCCATGTGTTCACGGACGCATCATCTCTTGGTTAGGGTTTTGTGACCAGTGCTCATCAGGTCAGCCAGGAATGATGGGGTCCGTCCTTCCGTCGGGCTCACAGCAAGGTGCGGGAGTTCATGGCTGTGTAGATGTCGCTCCGGAGAATTCGGGTCACTCGTGGATTGGCGATCCAGCTCCATTCGGAATGTTCCCCGGTGGTTCATTGCCTGAACCAAGGGGGCGTTCTTGGTTCTTTCGGGCTGGTTACTTCGGGTGATTCGTCTGCTGAGTTCTCAGGGTTAAGCTCTCCTGACGGTTCACGTTCAAGGGGTGTCCAATGTCCTGGCAGACGGCCTGTCTCAGTTCATTTCCCGTCCACGGAATGTATGGTCAACACCAACTAGTTCATTCAGCTGGCTCTGCCAGACATTCGGGCCTTCAGTAATGGATTTCTTCGAGTCGGCGTGGTCGAGGCATCTCCCAGTATACGTGGTGCCCTTCCTTGACTGCAAGGGCTTCGGGGTTGATGCCTTCAGGCAGGACTGGGCGAGGTGGGGTTACCTGTACCTCTTCCCCCTGGTTCAGCTGTTGCTCCAGGTCCTGGCTCACTTGGAAACTTACCAGGCGAGAGTTCTCTCTCCCCTGGTAAGTCTCAGTGCCTGCAGTTCCTAGTGGGTCTAGGCAGACTCCAGATTGTGTAACTTATAGCATACCATAAGGCCATGTGAAAGACCAGGAATGACATGATGGTATTATAGCAGTCTTAGACTGGGGGGCCACGAGCAAGACCAGGAATAACATGAGAGTATTATAGCACTGTCTTAGACTGGGGGGCCACAAGGAAGACCAGGAATAACATGAGAGTATTATAGCACTGTCTTAGACTGGGGGCCACGAGCAAGACCAGGAATGACAATGAAAACTCACTGGAGTTAAGCTATCTTGATGGATATTCATCATATGAGAGATAAAAATCAAGGCTTCCCTCAGTAGAATACCATTATGGTAAATACTTCAAGAGGCAAGAATTGTGTATTTTACCCAATCACTGAGTCAGTATTAATAGTGCAAACGTTTGTTCCTAACAGATACTGCAATTTTGCCAGGTGCCAAGAAAGTAGTTTCCACATCCTGTATTATTTGATTAAATATCTGAAATTTAAAATAGGTAATCCTGAATAGTCCTACCCAGCCCAGCCTAGCCTTGCCGTGACTTGCTGTGCTCTGCCTAGCCTTGCCGAGACTTGCTGTGCTGTGCCTAGCCTTGCTGTGCTCTGCCTAGCCTTGCCGTGACTTGCTGTGCTCTGCCTAGCCTTGCCGTGCCGTGGCCTACCCTCTCTTGCTTTGCTTTACTTTTCCCTGCCCAGCCTTGCCCATTTTCCTACAGCACTATGGTAAATATCTATACTAAAGATCTGAAAACATTGTATGAAAGACATGTTTGAAGTTTTAAAATAAACAAACTATAATGCCAAAGAGTAAATCCCTGCAGCCATACCTTTGGGTTGTCGTAATAGTACAAAATATCAGTGAGAACAAAGTACAGACACTTCCATTTTTTATTTTTCTTGCTTTTCTTGTATAGCCATCCTTGTTTCTGGATTCCTGAAAATGCAATGCCAATTAATATTGGATAATAAAATCAAGCAATAATTCTAAGATGCATTTCTTAGTCAATATATTATACCTCCATTACTGTATGTATCAAATATGCATAAATAATTGTTTTATAAATATGAAACTGCAAACCATTATACAACCCCTCCACATGTAACTATTATTCTAAACCATAAATATAAAGTATACTATTACAACAAATAGAATTTTGATTTGATATTTATTGTAGCTTTTAATACCGAGGTTGCAAATAGTACAACACCAAAGTAGATAGCCTCAGGCACTCTACCAAGCCACTCCTTAAACGTCGGCATGTTTGAAGGCTACCAGGCTCCAATTATAAGATTAGCAGAAGCAAGGTGAAATTCGCACGATCTGACCTCAGGTCACTTGGTGGTCATTAACTCTTAGAGGTGTGAGATTCAGGCCGCCAGAATGGCGCCTGTCAAATCCTTGTCTGTGACTCATGTATTCTATGTATGTGATCTCTATGTATTTTAAATACAACTAAACCAAACACCTTACAGTGTTACAGGATGACTGACTGTTACTCGCTCTCTGTGCCTGGATGAAGAGGGCAGGCTCTAGCTCTGGTCCACTGTAGGCCAAAACTGAACTCCGCAACTAATAGGACCTAGTAGACAAGAACAATCTCAACAAGGTAGCTTCAGGGGCTATCCCTGAAGGTCACTATTAGGCTATAAGGCCAAACTTTATAACAAATCAAATTAATTTACCTTTGAATTTTGTGACTCCCAGCTTCTCCCTGATCTCATTTAAAGTGGCGTAGATTTTCTCTGGCTGTTCAACCTCTTTCACTGGCACAATAGGCAAGCCAAGGCGCTCTCCTGAGCTTAACTGCTGTAATTATATAAAACAATTAAATCAAACAAAAGCTGTAAACAAATAATCTTTACATAATAAATGAATCACACTGATATAAAGCAACATTTTCTTTAGGATTCAGGATATATCCTAAACAATATACACTATATTATTTACATTCCATATACAAATGAACAAAAGTAAAAGGCAATTAATTTCATGACATTTTTCACATGCTCTTATTTGGTACACCTGGAATCTTATCATTAATCAAAAGGGTACAACTAGAAAAGTACAAAACATTCACACAAATATTGCAACCCACACATTCATGGAAGATGACAACCCACACATTCATGGAAGATGACAACCCACACATTCATGGAAGATGACAACCCACACATTCATGGAAGATGACAACCCACACATTCATGGAAGATGACAACCCACACATTCATGGAAGATGACAACCCACACATTCATGGAAGATGACAACCCACACATTCATGGAAGATGACAACCCACACATTCATGGAAGATGACAACCCACACATTCATGGAAGATGACAACCCACGCATGTGAGGAAAAAGGATATGAGCATATATCTCTAAAACGTCAATAAGCAAACTTGGGACAAGCTAGAAGCTAGACTGGCCACTGTCCATAACCAACTGAACGAAGATGTGACTGCTTGGAAAAGCAACTGGAGACACTGCCTGGAGGACAAGAATGACTGCAGACAATGCCTGGATAACAAGAGTGACTATAGAGACAGCCTGGAGGACAAGAATGACTGCAGACAATGCCTGGATAACAAGAGTGACTATAGAGACAGCCTGGAGGACAAGAATGACTGCAGACAATGCCTGGATAACAAGAGTGACTATAGAGACAGCCTGGAGGACAAGAATGACAGCAGACAATGCCTGGATAACAAGAGTGACTATAGAGACAGCCTGGAGGACAAGAATGACAGCAGACAATGCCTGGATAACAAGAGTGACTATAGAGACTGCCTGGAGGACCTGGGTGACTGTAGACAATGCCTGGATAACAAGAGTGACTATAGAGACTGCCTGGAGGACCTGGGTGACTGTAGACAATGCCTGGATAACAAGAGTGACTATAGAGACTGCCTGGAGGACCTGGGTGACTGCAGACAATGCCTGGATAACAAGAGTGACTATAGAGACTGCCTGGAGGACAAGAGTGACTACAGACTGCCTGGAGGACCTGGGTGACTGCAGACAATGCCTGGATAACAAGAGTGACTATAGAGACTGCCTGGAGGACAAGAGTGACTATAGAGACTGCCTGGAGGACCTGGGTGAATACAGAAGCTGCTAGGAGGGAGGGAGGACAAGGATAACTATAAACACAATCAGGAGGACAAGACTGGCTATAGAGACTGCCTGGAGGACAAAGGTGACTAGACTGTGTGGAAGACAGGATATTTTGCCTGTCACAAGTAAGTAGTAGTAGTAGTAGTGTGCAGGTTGAGGTTCCTTACCTTACAAACTGGACTACCTAAAGTATGTCCTTCTAAAATCTGTTCCGTCTTGTATCTATTGATGACAGCATCAAGGCAGGAAAACGTTCTCCCACCCATCAGGTACCTGCAACATCCAGTCTTTAAGCTCCTTCCTTTTACCATATTCACCCACTACTTTCTGTCCTATTTACTTGATATGATCATCTTGTGTACTAAATGTTGATAACAAACACTAAGGTTAACTTGTATGGTGCCTTAATCTATCAAATAACTATGTTGTGTACTAAATGTTGATAACAAACACCAAGGTTAACTTGTATGGTGCCTTAATCTATCAAATAACTATGTTGTGTACTAAATGTTGATAACAAACACTAAGGTTAACTTGTATGGTGCCTTAATCTATCAAATAACTATGTTGTGTACTAAATGTTGATAACAAACACCAAGGTTAACTTGTATGGTGCCTTAATCTATCAAATAACTATGTTGTGTATTAAATGTTGATAACAAACACTAAGGTTAACTTGTATGGTGCCTTAATCTATCAAATAACTATGTTGTGTACTAAATGTTGATAACAAACACCTAGGTTAACTTGTGTGGTGCCTTAATCTATCAACAGCTAAAAATCAAATTGTAATCATTTGTACAATTACGTTAATAAAACATCTGCATGTGAACCACTTGACCTATACACTTATGGCTCAACCAGACATTAACTTCAATTTCATTTATGAAAATCTATTACATCATATCCTTCATTTATAAAAACACTGATATTCTTGAGCTAAGAAAGGAACATAATCAGAAAAATGAGAATATTTAATGTTCACAATTTCAGAAATTAACATTTGATTTTAAAAATATCATACTAATTTTATTCCCAAGTATGAGTACAATATATACCAGATACTTCTTGCCATGTTTCACTATTAGAACCTTAACTTCACTACTACAACTACAGTGTAACCTTAATTCAGCAAACCTGACTTCAGCAAATCTTGGGTTGCAATGCACAATTGCTGGCCCTGCTTACTAGTGTTTAGGTGGCAGGGTCACAGTTAACAGACTTTGGCCAGAAATGATAAGCCTTGTTCATTTACAATATTTGCGATTCTTGACTTGATTATTTTGTTTTTAATTAAACTTAAGGAAATAATAAAAACATTTTTCCCCTTAACATACAGTTAAGGGAAAAATAAAACATCCTGAGAAATACCAGCAACAATGAGGGTGAAATCTCTGGACTTAGGTTCTACCTAGTAATTATGCATCACAATTTCATCATATGACAGATTGAAGTAAACATTTTGCTTAGTGAACTTCACCAATAGTGTGGGAAAAATTAAAGCTGGACATCAGAGACTGAACTAGGTAAGGCTACGGCCGAGTGCAGAAGTTGAGCCAACTGGTGGTGGCATTCATGCTAATTTTCAACGTTTGTCTTGTTGTGTGTGAATCATTTGCAGAGTCGTTTGGGGATTTCGAAGCTTAGGTCTTCGTTAACCCTCCAATTGTCTGTAAAGCTTGCTGACTTGCTGAATGCTTTCCTGGTGTGGTGAAGAATTATCACTTTTTCTCTACGCCTCTGTCAGGGAGGCCAGGTTATGCTTGTTCCTTGAAGGACAAACATAACTCCTGCATCTTACGTGACCCATTTGCATGCAACAATCTCAGCGAGATAGCTTCAGGGAGCCACCCTGGGGCTCCCCCAGAAATTAGGATATAAATTTTAACTCCTATAATATGGCTCTGATCACATATATATAAAAAAAATAGTTGATGAAAGAAATATTAGGAGAAATTAGCATAGCAATGTATTTTTCATGAAAAAAAAAAAATCACAAATGCCCCCTGAAGGTATCTCCAGTTGCAATGACTCTGCAGATGCAACAAATCAAGCCTGGTCCTATATAGTTCACTGAATCAAGGTTGCACTCTATAGCACCTGATACTGTACTTACTTCACCCCACGTTTCTCTATTCTGAACCTCTGAATGATGTTATTTGTAAGGAAGAAGAGCGTGTAGTCACCAGGTGAATTATCACTAGGACGAACCAGGAAGCTGCCTTGGCCAGCTGTTAAAAAGAAAGCATGGAGTTCCAAAATCAGTATGTTGTTCATATTTATATACTGTATAACCCTTGTTTAAAACTGTTTTAGGCATGTAAGCATACATATACAGTGTATTTCCAGCTGTGTATGTAAGTATGTGTAACTATGTGTGTGTAACTATGTGTATGTATGTATAACTATGTAAATGTAGTTACAGGATGGGAGCTAAGCTAGTTTTGTCCTAACTCCCTTTAAATTTTTTCATATAGAGTTTTTAAGTTTCCAATGGCATTCATAAACAAACACAACACTATTTGTTAATTAGAACCCTCAATGACTTCCCAAAGTGATTCATTAATCACTGTCCACAATCAGGCATCAAAAGACTTTCAAGACTCAACAATCCTATGCCAGCCACAGAAGAGGGAGCAACAGGAGGATTAGGGATTATGCCTGCAGGAGGTTCACATGGAGCCTGAAATGGAAGGAAATTCAGCAAATAAAATGATGGAACTCATGACCCAGAAATGTAAAGAAGCAATGTAACAGTTCATAAATCTCAGGGAATGGATGAAAAGAGAACAGCAAACCCACGGTTCAATGGTGTAAGCAGGAAAAGAATAAAAAAACAAGCAGTGAATGTAATGAAATGCTATTTTCTGGGCGAGACCCAGAGACTCACTGAAGCTTATCCAGACTGGTATTGCTATATTAGACTTTGGCATCAGTCATGTGAATGGAGTTCTTTAGGCCTACCAGGGACCATGGGCCAGAACCTGGCCCCCTCAGAGAGGCACAAGGAGCAATGGCCTATAGAAACCCCCATGTGGTTGGAAGCATTCTATGTCTGCCATCAACCGGGTCAGGCACCCAGAAAGGAAAGCGCCCCAAAACAAACTCTAATTCTGGTTAAGAAATTGGTACTGAAAGCCGAACTAGTGGAAAGAACTCCCCAAACAAAAACGAGCAAACTAGCACGACGTCACCACATTGCCGTGCCGCCGTCTGTGCAGCTCCCCCCTCCCCAGGAGGGGGAAGGGGGAAGGGGGAGCCCCAGACCCCTCGTGCCAGCTACCCAAAACCTCAGTTATGAGGATGCATATCAAAACACGCGAAAAAGAGCCTTGGAGAGACAATAAAAACCGAAGGGTGCCACAACAAACCAAGGGGGAGAGAGATAAGAGAACCCTGTCCAAAGGGTTCAGGTGGCGCACGAAGAGGCTGGAAGTGAAACAACACCAGAGACAGTTTTCTAAACGGCGTAGAACTAACATCAATGCCAAAAGCAAGATGCAGTGGCACCACCAGCGCCGCACGATACAAGGCAACAGTATTCGTCTCAAGATGACGATCCTGAAACAGCCACGAGAGAAAGGACAAGACCACCCGAACAGAAAGCAAAGTACATCAACAAAGAGACAAAAAGAAACGGAAGGACCGCCAGGAAACTTCATACTGCCATTAAGACATAGCACGCAAGTGGGACACCATTAATGAAGCCACCTGATCACCATACAGATGGTGATAGACCCAAGTCAAAAAGACCAGACGCGAAGACTCGAGGAGAAGATCGTACCAGCTACGTAACGGACCGGATCGATCATCTGAAAGAGGCGGAGCTGCAGGAAAACCCCTGGGTTCGGACACCGAGCAAGCAGCGCCTGAAACCAAGGCTGGTCCGGCCACCAAGGAGCCAAGAGGACTACTCTAACCTGGTACGTCTCCAAGAGAGCTAGGACCTGGAGTAACAGCGGAACCGGGGGAAAGAGGAGCGGGTAACCCCACCTCGACCAGTCCTGCCGAAAAGCATCAATAACGATGGCCTGCAGTCGGGGAAGGGCACCATATATACCGGAAGATGCCTCAACCACGCCGACGCGAAGAGGTCCACTTCCAGGACCTGTACGTCCCGCAGAGCCAACTGAATGAGTCGGTGTCAACCATCCATTCCGAGGACAGGGGAATGAATTGAGACAAGCTGTCCACCAGGACGTTGGACACCGGCCATCCCCGGTACAGAAGCATAGGGAAGAACTAAAGAGGGCCAGGAATGAGCACAAGAATCAGGAAGGCAGCGGAACAGCAGTTTGAGAATGATATTGCAGCAAAAGCAATGAGCAATGATAAGATGTTTCACAGCCATATATTCAGAAGAAAATAGCAACATGAGAGCATGTGATTAGACTGCAGGGATAGGGAGGTTCCAGAAGGTCTTCAAACTAGAACCAGATTGATGTCAAAGTTGAGGTTACAACAGACAACAACCAGAAACAACACTAGACATGACTGAAGTTAATGTAGAAGAGGTAAAAAGATACCTGGAAGAACTGGATGTAACAAAAGCTGAAGGACCAGACCAGATATCACCATGGTTACTGAAGGAAGCTGCAGGGATCTTGTGTTACCCTGTTAACTATATAACTATGCATGTTAATGTTTTATTAACATGCATTCCATGCAAGATTCTAGAAAAAGTAATCAGAAAAAGCATTGTAGAATATTTGGAGAGTCAATTTTATAAAAGTCAAAACATGGCTTCAGAGAGAGAAAATTATGCTTAACAAACTTGACTGAATTCTCAGACAGGGTTACCAAATTAAGTCAGGAGAAGGATAGGTAGACTGCATCTTCTTAAACTGCCAAGAAGCTTTTGATACAGTGCCTCACGAAAAACTAATACACAAGAAGGCGAGATAAGCGGGAATAACAGGAGAGGGACTAAATGGGGTAAGGCAGTATGTGACAGACAGAAAACAAAGGGTCATAGAAGGAGAAGATGTGTTAGGCTGGAGAGAAGTGGTATTTCACAGGGCTCTGTCCTAAGACCATTGCTCTCTAATTCATGTAACTGACCTCGCAGAGGGAGTGAGCTCGTACATGTCAACGTTTGCAGATGAGGCAAAGTTAAAGAGGAGAGAAAGAACTGAAGAGTAGGGTGTTGCACAGAGACCTCAACAAACTTCAAGAGTGGACAGATAATTGGCTGCTGGAATTTTGTCAAAATAAGTGTTAAGTAGTGAAAATGGGTAAGGAAGATATGAGACCTGTATCTAACTATACCATAAGGGAAAGGCAATTACAATAAGAGAAAAAGACCTGGGAGTAGACATAATCCATACACTAACACCAGCGGCTCATGTGAACAGGACATCAGCACCATATGGGAAATTGGCAAACATAAGAAAGTCACTTGAGAATCTAAACAAGGAGGCGTTCAAGTCCCATACACACTGCCTACATGAGACCGTTACTTGAGTATGCAGCCCCAGCATGGAACCTGCATCTTGTGAAGCATAAACAGAAACGTGACAAAGGTCAGAGGTTTGCAATTAGATAGGTACCAGAATTGAGAAGCCTCAGCAATGAGAACAAGTTGAAAGAACTTGCCCCTCACAACCTTAAAGGACAGAAGAAACAGAGGGGAAGTAATACTGTAACTACATACAAGATCTTCAAAGGAATAGATAAAGTGGATAAAGAAAACCTATTTAAATTAAAAAGAGGTAGGATGAAGGGACATTGGTAAAGCTGGACTTGCAATTGAGTTGGAAAGATTTAAGGAAGTTCTCGTTCTCTGTTCAGGTGATCGGCAAGAGGAATGCATTGAAGGAAGAGATTGTTAAAAGCCACTTCCATCCACAAATTAATGAAAACATTAATGTTAGAGAAGTAATTAGTGCACCAGGTATAAATGGCTAGTAGGCAGGGCAAAAAGAGCTACATCTTACTCCCCCATAGTCAGTATTTGATTGGGCAACTGAATATAACATGATGCTTAACAGTGATAAGTTCCAGGTACAGTGTATGGTGTAAACAAGGAACTTAAACGAAACACAGAGTACAGGACACAATCAGACCTACTAATAGAAGGAAAGTAACATGTAAAAAATCTGGGAATTATGATGTCTGACGACCTGACATTTAGTGAACACAACCGAGTAAATACTGGGTATAGCATCGGCAGGACAATGATAGGATGGATTATGAGAACGTTCAAATCTAGGGACCCCACAGCAATGCTAATGCTATTTAAATCACTGATGCTGTCCCGTCTTGAGTATTGCTCGGTAATCACTTCCCCCTTTCAGAGCAGGAAAGATCTTTGAATTAGAGGGAATACAGAGAAAATATATGGCACTCATAGAAATGATAAAACAACTGAATTATTTGGACCATCTCAAAGATCTCAAAATGTTGTAAAGAGACAAGAAAGGTATCAAATAATATATATAGTACATGGAAGATACTGGAGGGGTCAGGACCCAAATTCGCACAGTAGAATGACAACATACTGGAGTGAAAGATACAGAAGGAAATGCAGAATAGAACCATTGTTCAGAATAGAACACCCTCCCAGCAGCATTAGAAATATTGCCGGAACAAAGGTGGAGGTATACAAGAGGCACTTGGACAGGTTCTTGCAAGAAGTTCTGGACCAACCATTGCTGTAGTGAATATATGGGCCTGCGGGCCACTCCAAGCAACAGTCTGTTGGACCAAGTTACCACAAGTCAAGCTTGGCCTCAGGCCGGGCTCGAGGAGTAGAAGAACTCCTGAATCACTCTCCAGGTATGCTCCAGGTAGTCACTAATAGGTAAGCATCCATCAACAGGTAGCAGCCCAGGTCACAGGAAGTATTTGCTGGTCATATAATTACTTCAGTCTGATTTATTTCTCTACAGGTTTCTGTTGGATCTGGACTTTGCTTCTCACAAAAAGCTTAATAGTTCATAGCTATCTTGGGGCATGTTGTCGCATGCAGGGGCCTTTTGTACTTTGGGTTTCCTTCCTTATTTATGATTCACAATTGTGGTTATACTAGCTGCATAGTATGATCCTCAACTTTCATCTAGGGGTTTCCTGCCCCAGGTACCTTATTTGCAATTGCCTTATCCATCCAGTTATTGTCTCTAGGGGTTTGGATTCTTTCTAAGGACTTTTCTACTCTTTTGAGTTACCAGTGTCCTGAGTTGTGCTATGGTCTTTGTTGCCATGCGAGACCTGTTGATGAAAAGCTGATGTAGCTAGACTGTATAGTCTAGTTATTATTATTGATGTACACTTGGCCTTAAACATACCAATATTAGTACTAGTACTTACGGATAGTTCTCAAGTGTGGCAATAAATGGTGTCAAGTGAACGGTTCTTATAACTGTGCTTCATGACTTCGTGTGCATTTCGTCGTGTATTTATTAACAGCTTTAATAAACAATAGCAAAACATGAACGTGTAATGCGACATAATTCTCAAATTCAAGCAATTGAAAGCAGATGGTATTAATAAGTAGGAAGGAGTAACAGGGAAGCATATGGCAGATATTAACAGGCAGAGATGACCTAGTGTATGAGACATTTAATAACATACCTGGCTAAGTACCACCACAGCCAAAATCGAGTGCAGTACCAACATATTCCTCAAACACTCTTTTATTTTGTTGAAAGTTAATGCTTAACTGAGAATGCAAACAATCTTAGGAATAACCTTAAGAATGTTTGGATACAATTTTGCCCACGGTGGAGTAGTAGTGCAAGTTAAGATAAACATTTCACAGTTATTGGGTATGTGCACAAGTTAATAAATGAAAAAAATTCAAAGAAAATTTTTACATGAATACAGTATAACAAGAAAAAAACAACATGGAAAGTATATATACATATACATATACATTTACTCTATAGATAGGAAAGGTTTAACAAGCTCATGGGGAACCCCACAGGCTTTACGAAAAATGATCCTGCTACGATGAGCTTTAAGTTTACCTTTAATTAAGAGGTCTATGGCATCACTCTTGGTAATGTCTGGATGAAACCATGAAAAGACAATATTGGGGTCAATATCATCATCTAGGGTCTCGACCAGGTCTGAGAATATGGTCCCTTGTTCTCCGGTACGGTGTGCAGTCACCCACAGCCACCCGTCACTTAACTCGTTGTGAACAAAGAAGATGTCTCCTTTCTGAAATCTGCAACAAACATTTAACATTTTTAAATTTCACTGCCATGGGATAGGATGGCATCAGCCCAGATGAAGTTTGAGAATAAAAGAGAACAGGAAAAAAAGATTAAATGTACCCAAAAATATCATATACAACCTACAGTATAGGGTCTTGTTTTTTTTTTTCCTGCCATGGTTAATTTGTTCTCTTGTAAAATGTCCCTTTCAAATAAAATTATATAATCACAGTAATATTATACATTTTGCACTCCCTATATACAGAAAATATAAACATTAATACTGACGATAGTTCATCCGTGTCGGCCATTTTCGTATACGGTAGAATGGCCACAACTTTCCGTAGGTCGTTAACCGGTTCTGGTGGTGGTACAGGATGGACCAGTCTCTCACGCTTGAGCAAGTCTGACATGCTAGTGTAGTAGCCAACCAGATCACTTAAGGCATTAAACTGTCGACCACCAATGTAGAAGTCCCCACACACGGCCGTGATCCTGGTGAAAACCAATGTCATATACTGAAGTAAATATTGATTCAAGATATATAGTGAAAATAATGGAATTTATTAGCTGATCATCAAATATGTAAAAATGGGCCTCACTAGTAACAACAATACTGTATTAAGTGACAACAGGTCTGCAGCTTTGCTTTTTTTTTTCTTTTTTTTACTGGCAGATTGTTCTTGTCAGAGATGCTAGATGTTAGTCTACCAGGGGGCTTCCCCTGGTAGCTAACTGCCTCTCAATCTCACTGAGATTGCTCTTAGCTGCTATGTCATTTCAGTTGAAGTTCTGTTTGACCTACCAGAGACCAGAGCCAGAACCTGGCTCCCCCGTCTCAAACGCACAGAAAGATAGTAATATTCACAAGGAAAGCATCCAGAATGTCAGCAAAACATTACAATCATCTGCAAGGCTCACAGAAAATGATGCCTCTGAACTCCAAAACAATTAAACACAATGACTGAAACATTAAAAACTACTGTAACTTGAACCCATTAGTACCGATAACCAGCACCAGGCGGCCTGGAGTACCATCCCGCCCTTCCCTAATGCCAACTCTCTCAGGTCAGATCTGTCATTGATGTGGTGCCCTCAACACCACTGTAGTGCTCCTGGGTTGCCATCAGTAGCTGCAAGTCCCCTTGCTTCTAACCTAAGTGCCACCCATCCTTGGGCTCATTTGCTTGTAGAGTGTTTAAATTTTTGGTATTTGTCCATGAACATGTTTTCTATCTGGCAGCAAGGACAACTTTTGGTGCTTGTTTGGTGCTTCAGGCTGCATGAGCTCAGGGTTTTCTTTCCTAGCCACCTATTAGCACCTCCCCTGCATTAACAGATTTACTTCTCGGGTGTGTCCCAGTCTTCACCCTTACAAGTGTGAGGCCACCAGGGTGGAGGCCTTCCCTCAGGTACTTCAGTCTTCACCCTTACAAGTGTGAGGCCACCAGGGTGGAGGCCTTCCCTCAGATACTTCAAGAGTCTTTGGCTCCTCTGTTTAGGCCCATGGTTGAGGGCATTAATTTTTGGTTGGGTTGGGGTGCACTGGGATTCGTGTGCTTGTTCATACTGCACACTGAGGCTGCCCTGCACAGACCTCATTTTGTAGCTGCATGAGGTCACGTGACTATTCTTTTGGAGAATGTCCCCAATGCCTGTGTGTCCTCTTTAGCTAGTTACGTTCAGGCTCTGGCCCTTTTTCAGTAGTGTTTCAGCATGCTTTCCCATGGATCAGCCCATGTTCAGCTCAGTTGCACATTCTCAAAGCACCCAAGGTGAAACTCCATAAGATCCAACTGCTTTATTTCTTCCTAGCCCTTTTGAGTCATTTTTTCACTTCGTCTTGAGATACCTCCGTGTATTCTATGGTGTGCTCTGGAATTCGAATTGGGTCTGGCTCTTGTGAGGTGTTTGTTGCATTGTGATTGGTTGGATGCCTCAGAGTTGGCCCTATAGTGTTTAGGGACCCAGAATGGAAAGAGAAAGTCCATGCTTCTTCTTCCTTTCCTTACAAGTGTAGTTTGCCCTGCTTCCAATCCATCCCCCTTCCCCCCCTGGTCCAGCTCCAAATCATATGAGGTTCTGGATTTAACCTGGCTGGTTGACATTCCCCACTTCTCCTCGGGGGCTTGGTAAGGGTTCTATCGGACCAGCATGCTTGGTTGGCGAGGTGTGTGTTCCATCTTTGAGGTAGTATTCTTGCGCAGTACTTCTTATGCACCGCTAGGGGACTGCCTGTAACAGTGGCACTCCCATGGCTGCTCTATGTGCAGCTGCCTGTGCTGTCTAGGCCTCATATTGTGGATGACCACAAGGTGTGTTTGCATTTAGCGGCAGTCTTGTGGGTTTGGGTCCCTCTGAAGAAGCTTTCTGGGGAGCTATGTGAGGATGTGGCTTTGCTTGGTATCGCCCTGGATGTGGAGGCTTTGAAGTCTGCAGTTTCTGACTTGGCGGCCATGCCCAAGATGCTCGCCCCTCTCCTTCGGAAGGTAGTGGCTGCAATTTACTCAGCCTGCTTTGCATGTCAACAGGCTGTGTTGGCCTGCTTGATGGCCAACACAGCCCTCCCTACCCCCCTTTCTTCAGATCGGGCTTTCAGATCAGGTATCCTACCCAACTCTGCATCTGGTTACTGCAGTTTATCCAATGTTCTCGCAGACGGGTTATCTCGCTTCCGTCCCATTTCTACAGAGTGGACCATCAAAATCGCATCCTTCTGGTTGATTTACAAGACATTCAGTTACCTCAAGGTGGACCTCTTCACACTGACATGGAACCAGTGCCTTCCCTCCTACATAGCTCCATTCCCTGATAGACAAGTTCTTGCCGTGGATGTCTTTTGACTAGATATGTCGATGTGGAGATGCATTTATCTTTTCCACCAGTTCAGTTGTTGCTCCAGATTATGTCCCACCTGCGTCTTTCCTCACGGCGGCAGTATGACATTGAATGGTGCTCTTGTCTCTTCTTTTTTTTCAGTTTTGGTCAAAGTGGTCCTGTCTTTTCTGTATTGGTTTCTTGATCGGCATCGCATGCCAAATACTGCTGCTGCTTTATTACTCAGGGCTGAAAGAGCCCTGTTTCTTGTGTTCAGTGTTACCCCTTCCTTGACGCTGTTCTGCACGTTATCTCATGCACTATTCACCTTTAACCGGCTCCTCCAGAGCCATCCTGGCCTCTTCACCGGGTGATGGTCTTCCTCTTTTTGACTCATTTTATGGTTTCTCCTTTGGCTCATAATATCTTTCTAAAAGTTGTTGTTTTGTTGGCTCTCGCCTCAAGCTGTAGAGTTGGGGAACTTCAGGCTCTTCCCCGGAGGTGAGGTTTTATTCCTTCGGCCCTGTTGGGCAGTTTGCTTGCAGCCTTCTCCTCCTCATCTGGTGAAGAATGAGTCGACCAACTTTAGGATGGCTTTGCTGGTGACTGATGTTTGTTTGGTTCAGTCAGAGGTGCATCATTTGTGTCTGGAGGTGGTTCTGATTCGGTGGGCGCCTTGTTAGTTGTCCCCGTTTCCTTTGTTCCCTGTTCCAAGACCTGTACTTCCCAGGTTGTCCACAGTGTAATCACATCTAGTCAGCCTGAAATCTACACTCGGGCCCACAATGTTCGCAAATACACTGCATTGGCCACAGTCTTCTCCAACATGTCCTGGGCTGATATTTGGGTTTGAGGGTTTTGGCGTTCTAGCAGGGCTCTGGCAGCTCAAAATTTGATTAATGTCCCTGGTTCCATTTGGTCTTGTGTTGCCTTGGGTCATGTCTCCCAGCCGGGATTTTCTTCTTTGTCCTAGGACATGCTGCATCTCCTCCCATTAGGTCCCTTTTTATTTTTTGTGGTTAGCTGCAGGGAGCCAATGAGAGTTCTCTCCAGAAACTTAGCATTAAATGTAATGAAATGCCACTTTCTGGATGAACTCTGGTGGCTCTATGACTCCCTCCTTCCCTACTAGGTTAGTGGGTTTATCAGTGAGCTGTTTATCAGCTCCAAAACTGGGTAAAGAGGGTAGCTGTGTGCAGAAGCTGGGCCGCCTGGTTGTGACATTCTGTACTCTTGAGTATTGTGCTTATTGTGAATGTTTCACTTCTTCTCTGTGAATCATTTGTGAAGTTCTTTAGCAATTTTGCAACTCCAATCTTTGATAACTCTCCAGTTGACTGTAAAGCTTTGCTGTCTTTCTGGATGCTTTGCCAGCATGTTGGTGAATTGTCTCGCTTTCTACACCTCTGTGAGGGGGTCCAAGTTTTGGCTCTGGTCCCTGGTAGGCCAAACTGAACCCCCACATCTGATGTGACCATTTGCATGGATCAATACTAGCAAGATAGCTTCAGGGAGCCACCAGGGCTCATTTTTAATTTTTTTTTTATATAAAGGTTTTGAAGATATTATTCAAACTAAAGCTCCTGTTCCCAAATGGTGCTTTTCAAAATACAGTCATTGTTGTAGGAGTATAATCTCAAAGTCTACATCTCTGAAGAGCAAGTTAAAGTGAATGGTGACAAATTGTTTATTATTCAGTCAACAGTTTACATTTTATTAATACTCTACTTAAGCTATCATTATGTTAATAAATCTGGCAACCAGAAGACCAATTTATCAGTCATAGAATAAAAATTAAAAATTAAATCTACAGTATTCCCTTACTTGAAGTGAGAGACTCCCGAGCGACCCAGATAGGACAGGACATAAGACCCCGGTCGGCGGTCGGACTCCCGCACCAAGTAACTTCCAAGCTTCCCAAACTGCCGTAGTCTTTCTTCACTCTGGGCCCGGTCCAGTCGTCCATGATACCAACTGTAATGCAAAATATTTTAATAAGAATTATTCATTTTTTATCAATTGTCCAAATTTTTTTACTATTCTCTCAAAGACAAATCAGGCCATTCACTGACACAAATAAAATAACTAGGTACTGTGATACACATTAGCAAATAAATTCATAAAAATTAATTTTTTAATTCCCTTCATATATAAATATTACCAGCTCCATGACCCTGCTCCTCTGCACTAAATGAGTAACCTAGATACATCACACAAATTCTGTAATCATTTTATTTGCTTACTGGGTACTTATATTCCATGCCAAATCATCACAAAACAAAAATCAGCGTTGATTTTGTAATGAAATACAGTACTGTACCAATTTCTGGGTAAGCCCCAATGGCTCCCTGAAGCTACTACCTGATAGTGTACTATACTACTATGTCCCATCAGTTTTTATATAAAAAAAAAAAAAAAAATGTCCCATCAGTCACAGAATTCTAGTGCCCTACCAAGGACCACAAGCCACAAACTGGCTGAAAAACAAAAGAAAAACCCCGCAGAAGCACAAAGTCTCCAGGGAAACGGAACCGGTCGCTATGCGTATATCAGACAGCTACACAGTACCCCATGCCCCAGCCAGTGATGAAACTACCTCCTACCCAAGGGTAAACTGAAGTAAAAACCATCTCGGCCGAACGCCAAGGACCAGCAATCATCGAGCAGCAACCTAACCTTCCGGAGGTAGTGTCCCGAATGGCTCATGGAAGTTAACCCTAAACCACAAGGGCAGTACTTACAGGGGAACCTAGGGAAGGTGGCCCTAGGTGCATGCAGCCCCAGTGCTCGTGTGTTATTCCTGGCTCGCAAACCACCAACACAGAAGAACAATACCGCTATGGACAGTACTGCTCAAAAGGATGGAGCAAGAGTCGATCGACCGTCACCAATGCCTTCTGAACTGAGGTGGAGTAACTGGAGCAGAGGTCTGGGGACCCCTCTTCCCCCCTCCTGGGAAGGGGGGAGTTGCGCAGACGGCTGCGTGGTGGCTGTGGTGGCGTCATGCTTGTTTTTGATGGGGAGTTCTGCTTGCTAGTTCGGCTTTCGGTTTGCAATTTTTAACCCAACCCAGCTGTAATTTGTCTTGGAATTCCTACCTTTCTGGGTGCCTGATCTGGTAGATGGCAGACATAGATTGTTTCCAATTACATGAGGGTGTCTATAACCATTGCTCCTCATGCCTCATCTGAGGGGGGGCCAGGTTCTGGCACTGGTCCCTGGTAGGCCTAGAGCTCCATCAATTGACTGTTGCCACGGTCTAAAATATGCACATCAGCCTGGTATAGCTCCAGGGAGCTGAAGGGACTCTCCACAGAAAATCCACCCACGCAGAACCGGTGACACATAGTTAACAGCAAAACGCCGAAACTAGACACAACATACAACCAGCCAGACCCACCAAGCATCAATGACCAAAGGACCTCTATGGAAGCCAACTGACTCATTCATTGCAAGAAAAGCAGCCAGCTGCCAGTAAACAAACTGCCCACCAGTGCCAAATGAGCAAAAGCCCCAGCACTGGAGGAGAGCATAAAGGTCCCCCACCCAATAACCAGAGGTGAGAAAACCCAAAACAAAGACTGCAAGAAACAAACACGGACTGAAGGACTGAAGGGTCTGTGGCATATACGAGGCTGGCTAACATCAGAACAGCATTCAGGAACCTGTGTAAGGAATCATTAGAATCTTGTACACCACATATGTAAGACCAATCCTGGAGTATGCGGCCCCAGCATGGAGCCCGTACCTTGTCAAGCACAAGACGAAGCTGGAAAAAGTTCAAAGGTATGCTACTAGACTAATCCCAGAACTAAGAGGCATGAGTTAGGAGGAAAGGCTGCGGGAAATGCACCTTACGACACTGGAAGACAGAAGAGTAAGGAGAGACATGATCACAACCTACAAAATCCTCAGGGGAATCGACAGAGTAAACAAGGATAAACTATTCAACACTGGTGGGACGCGAACAAGGGGACACAGGTGGAAACTGAGTACCCACATGAGCCACAGGGACGTTAGAAGGAACTTTTTCAGTGTCAGAGTAGTTAACAGGTGGAATGCATTATGCAGTGATGTGGTGGAGGCTGACTTCATACACAGTTTCAAATGTAGATATGATAAGAGCCCAGTAGGCTCAGGAATCTGTACACCAGTTGATTGACAGTTGAGAGGCGGGACCAAAGAGCCAAAAGCTCAACCCCCACAAGCACAAATATGTGAGTACATCATAACTCAAGTGGGCAAAAGAAAAGCATGAACACAATCTAGTCACCAAACAGGCTCAGGTAACACATGAGCAGGCCAAAGGTGAAAGAACGCAGGAAACAGCTTGTGAAACAGAGCCAAGGTAGTATCAACTCTGAATGCAAGCTACAGCGGCTCCGCCAACGCCGCACAATACGAGGCAAACAGGAGTCAGCATAAAATACCGATCAAAGAAAAGCCAAGACAAACAGGAGAGAACCACCCACTCAGATAACGAAAGACAGCAACGAAGAGAAAGAGACAAAACGAGTGCCACAACACCTCATACTACTGCTCTGAAGGACACAGACATAGCCACCTGACCACCATAGTGTGTGCAATAAACACACAACAGAAAGTCCAGACGTGTAACGCGGAAAAGTTTGAGCCAGCAAAGTACCGTATAGACTATGGAGCCCCACAGGGATCCAAACCCTCTGCAGCGCAGGCCAGTAGCAATCTGCTGCACAGCACTATGAGCCCGACTATAGAGGGGGGGGGGGGGAGGATCATGGCCCCTGACCAGCCTGGTGAACCAGCTGAATAGACAGTACGTTTTAATACTAAATGTAATAAGTACATTCCTGACTGTCTGCATAGTACATAATTACACTTAATCGCCAGCATCGCACCTCTCTCGTAACAAAGAATGAAATAAAATATTGTGAATATTAGAGTTTACCTGAAAAGCTGTATAGAAACCCCTGACCAGAGACGACCTTAGCAGTGTAGAAGGACAAGTGTGTAAATAGCATTTATTGCTTCTAAATTTCAACAAAATTAAAGTCTTTCAATAAATTATAAAGTAACTCGGGATATTTTCAAATTTTGTATAAAATCTCTATTGTTTAATAAAACAGAAATATAAATTATTTATATTTAAAACTTGTGTATATAGAATTTAACACGAAAAGTTCAACCTTAAAAATTTTGAGTATATTACACAAAATTAGGAGAATATATGGAGAGATAAATGTAAGTCTTTTTTGTAGTCTTTTAAAATGTCAAAAGTTGAGGGGGATTAGGGCGTGACATTGACAAAGTGAGCCTCAGTTATAATGGCCACGCCCATGCTTCAATGTGCTGCTTACTACGTCTGTAACCGTACTAGTCATATGTATGTGGCTTAGGCTACTCTTATCATCATGGATACTAAGGTTCACACTGAATGGCTCTGTAACAAACTTTTCAACACATTATTAATTGGGGAGAGTGCGAAGACGCTTCAACATAACCGGACATCCTCAGCCCAATCCTCTACTGAAAGTTCCTACAAGACATGTTGTAACAACATAAGTGAACCATGGGACTTTCTCACTACACACCAAGACTGGGAATAAGAAGTGTGTGTGGATACTCTGCCCTCCACCACCACCATAACCTTCCTTCTACCAACCAACCCAAACAAAGTGGCTGTAAATACCGGCAAGGAATGCCTCTAGAGCCACCCTGTGCCCAGAGTGCCCTAGAGCCTGGTGCCCACCCCCAGGGTCCCGGGTATCCCCCAGGGCACATAACCCAGCCCCACCCTTCACCACACACACTCTCTGTGGGGTCATCTCATGTCTTCCCCCCCCTGCAGGACCTGCCCTGGGGGCCAGACCCCCGTCAGTAGTGGTGGTGGGGGGGGGGGAGATAGAGACAGTAGAGAGAGGCACCACTACTGACCTCTCCTCCGGGGGAGCGGACAGGGAGCTGTCCACCTCGTCCGGCTCATCAGGGTCGTCATGGAAGGGGTCGAAGTCGTCGCCGAAGCCGACATCGTGACCGTCGTCGCTGCCAGTGCTGGGTGAGCCATGGAGCTTGTCCTTGGGCCTGACGGAGACATTCCTGGCGGCCGTGGCCACGCTCGACACCACCTCCGTGGTCGCCATGCCCGCTCACCCTACTCCTGCTCCTGCTGCTGCTGCTGCTACCCGGGCCTCTTGCCACCTCCCTCCTCGCCCCTCGCCACCTCCCACACTCACACACGCCGCCCCAATATACCCCCAGGGGACAAGTGCCACTTGTGGGGGGAGGGGAGGGGATGTGGGCCCGCACGGAGCACAAGGTGGATGATTTCCCTGGATGATGGCGGCTCTTGGAAGGCCAATGTTGTGAATGGAGGAGTGAGTAGGCGCAGGCGTGGGGGAGGGAGGGAGCCAGGGGGGAGGGGGGTACTATACAACTCAATATGACGCGCTCAGTACTACACTCTCACACACTCTCACACCTCCTCTCTCACACTCTCTCTCTCTCTCATACTCCATACTCTCTCTCACACACTCACACTCTCTCTCTCTCTCATACTCCATACTCTCTCTCACACACTCTCACACCTCCTCTCTCACACTCTCTCTCCTCTCTCACACTCTCTTTCTCTCATACTCCATACTCTCTCTCACTCTCTCTCTCTCACACACACATACTCCCTCCTCTCTCACACTCTCTCCTCTCTCACACTCCCTGCTCTCTCTCGCACACTCCCTCCTCTCTCACACTCTCCCTTCTCTCTCACACTCTCTCACACACTCCTTCCTCTCTCACACTCTCTCACACTCTCTCTCTCTCACACACACTCTCTCACACTCCCTGCTCTCTCTCACACTCTCCCTCCTCTCTCACACTCTCCCTGCTCTCTCTCCCACTCTCCCTCCTCTCTCACACTCTCCCTCCTCTCTCACACTCCCTGCTCTCTCTCACACACTCTCTCCTCTCTCACACACTCTCTCCTCTCTCACACACTCCTGCTCTCTCATACACACTCCCTGCTCTCTCATACACACTCCCTGCTCTCTCATACACACTCCCTCCTCTCAAACACACTCCTTTCATACACACTCCATCTTTCTCATATACATTCCCTGCTCTCTCATACACACTCCCTCTTTCTCATACACATTCCCTGCTCTCTCATACACACACCCGTGTCCGAAGCTAGACACAAATACAACAAAATTATTAAAGATGGTAACAGAGTCCATTTCATGTGGTCTCCATCTCATGTTGGCCTCCGAATGCATGACAGAGCTGATAAGTTAGCCAAAGTTTCTGCCTTTAAAGGAGCCGTTGAGAATAACCTTGGATTGTCAATGAGCAATCTGAGAGCAGCAGTACACTGAGAACTTCAACAAGATCTTGTAGATCTGAGGCAAAGTGAAATTGACACCAATAATTCCATCTATCATCATACTATCATGCAAGAGGAGCCACACATCTATGGATCATCCAATAAAATCAGCAGACTTCTAGATGTTACTACTGCTCGGCTTAGACTCGGTTACAAGTATCTCTGGGAATTCTCATTATCTGCTGATGTAGACCTGACCAAATGTAAACTGTGTCAACAAAATTATTCGCACACCCTCCGTCACTATGTGATGGAGTGCGAAATGATACGTGAATTTAGAGACAATTCTATAACCAATGTGTAAATATTTCATTCAAAATGATCTGCTACCAGAAATTTTAGCCAAATATCCCCAGTTTGCAAACTGTAGGTAGTAACTAAGTGATTGTAACCTATCCACCGCTGCCCACTGGATGGGGGGCGGTGTGCAGGACAAACATATCAATTGTGACACTAGCTCTCCACATATGTCAGTTGCTTAATTTAGAAACTGTACTTGAGGTCGATCTCGAACCCATTGTTGATGTGACGACTTATATTGAATTTTGTAACTAGCTCATCAAGATTATAACTTGCTTTGCTAAATGAATTGTGGGGTTCAGTCCCTGAGCCCATTATGTGCCTCTGTAACCCTTTCCACTACCGCCCACAAGATGGGTATGGGGTGCATAATAAATGAACTAAACTAACTTTCACACACACTCCTTCCATACACACTCCCTGCTCTCTCACACACTCCTTCCATACACACTCCCTGCTCTCTCACACACTCCTTCCATACACACTCCCTGCTCTCTCACACACTCCCTGCTCTCTCACACACTCCTTCCATACACACTCCCTGCTCTCTCACACACTCGTTCCATACACACTCCCTGCTCTCACACACACTCCCTGCTCTCACACACACTCCTTCCATACACACTTCCTGCTCTCTCTCACACACTCCTTCCATACACACTCCCTACTCTCACAGACACACTCCTTCCATACACACTCCCTGCTCTCTCACACACACTCCTTCCATACACACTCCCTGCTCTCACAGACACACTCCTTCCATACACACTCCCTGCTCTCTCACACACACTCCTTCCATACACACTCCCTGCTCTCTCACACACACTCCTTCCATACACACTCCCTGCTCTCTCACACACACTCCTTCCATACACACTCCCTGCTCTCACAGACACACACACACACAAACACACACACACAAACACACACACACACACACACACACACAAACACACACACACACACACAAACACACACTCACACACACACACACACACACATGTCTCCAGCATGGAGTCCATATCTAGTCAAGCATAAGACTAAAATGGAAAAGGTTCAAAGGTTTGCCACCAGACTAGTACCCGAGCTGAGAGGTATGAGCTACGAGGAGAGACTACGGGAATTAAACCTCACTTCGTTGGAAGACAGAAGAGTTAGGGGGGACATGATCACCACATACAAGAGTCTCAGGGGAATTGACAGGGTAGATAAAGACAGGCTATTTAGCACAAGGGGACACAGGTGGAAACTGAGTGCCCAAATGAGCCACAGAGTAGTTGACAAATGGAATGCATTAGGCAGTGATGTGGTGGAGGCTGACTCCATACACAGTTTCAAGTGTAGATATGATAGAGCCCAATAGGCTCAGGATCCTGTACACCAGTTGATTGACAGTTGAGAGGCGGGACCAAAGAGACAAAGCTCAACCCCCGCAAACACAACTAGGTGAGTACACACACACACACACACACACACACACGGACTACGTCACGCAGAAATGCAAGGAAGCAGCAAACAAGTTTGTCCCAGTCCAAAAGGAAGACAACGAAATGAAGATGAGAACGTAATTCATTAGGGAGTGAGTGCCTTAAACTGGCTACCTTTAATTGCATGGAATGAGTGTTTAAACAGATTTAGTCTGACTCTAAGGATTTATTTACCTTACCTGAATTTACCTGAGAGCCACTAACACTCTAGTGACCTCGAGTCAAAATCCTTGGACCTTGGAATCAAAATCCACCGCTCAATGAATGTTGTACAGCAGGTTGGGACAGCAGTCTAAAAAGTTAACCAAACCCCTAGAATGATCAATCGTACCTTTACAAGAGTGTAATTACTGTATTATGTATCCTCACAATCCCAATGTACCTTCTTGTATATATATAAATAAAATAAATAAAAATAAAATAAATACCTTTGACTTTAAGGAAAAGAAGGTAAAGCTCTGGTAGTTATGATTAGTAAGAATTTAAAACAAAAGGATCAATTCACGAATGTTCGTAATAACGGGGATTTATTAATGGAAGCGTTAGTAACAAGACACCTGGTGTGGTTCTTCAGCTATATCTTGATCTGGTTAGGCCCCATTTAGATTATGCAGTTCAGTTTTGGTCGCCATATTATAGAATGGATATAAATTCACTTGAACGTGTCCAGTGTAGGATGACTAAGTTAATTCCCCAAATTAGAAACCTGTCATATGAAGAGAGATTAACAAAGCTTATTTATTTATTTATTTATTTATTTATTTATTTATTTATTTATTTATTTATTTATTTATTTATTTATGCATATACAAGAATGTACATAAGGAATGTGAGGATACAAATATGGTAATTACAGTCTTGTAAAGCCACTAGCACGCGCAGCGTTTCGGGCAGGTCCTTAATCTAAGAAAATTTTAAGGAAGTAAATACTTGCAAAATTTATAGACAAAAAAATGATAACAGATTACATAAAATGAAAAAAAAAGAAGATGAGAGAAAATTGTAGGTACAGTATATTAAAGCACATAGGTAGCTAAGATTTAAGCTAAGCTAAGATAGGCTAAGCTAAGCTAAGCTAAGCTAAGGTAGCTAAGATTAAGCTTAAATTGCATTCACTGGAAAGGCGAAGAGTTAGGGGTGACATGAATAAGTTTTACAAGGGGATGAATGGATAAAACAAAGGGGATATGAATAGGGTATTAAAAGTATCAACACAAGACAGAACACGAAACACTGGGTATAAATTTGATAACTTTAGATTTAGGAAAGACTTGGGTAAATACTGGTTCGGTAACAGGGTTGCTGATTTGTGGAACCAATTACCTCGTAACATGGTGGAGGTGGGGTCCCTCGATTGTTTCAAACGTGGGTTGGACGTGTATATGAGTGGGATTGGGTGGTTATAGATAGGAGCTGCCTCGTCTATGGAACCCACTCCCTAGTGAATTGAAAAGCTGTCAAACTTTTGCCTCATTTAAAACCAAAACCAAAAAGTACCTAATTTCATCTTCGTAGTTTCGTACACTGGGCTTTAAATTTGCTCTGTATCTAGTGTTACCCAATCTCCCAATGTTTACGTACTTAACCCAAACAACTTTATCATTGTGTTTATTGCTGTCTTCTTTTATGTACTAGCCATATGCTGTATTGTGCCTACTAATTTTTGTCAACTACCATTCAAGCTGTCATTGCAATCAATCTGAGCTACTTATGTGCTTTAATATACCTACAACTTTCTCACAGCTTTTCTTTTTTTCTTTCTTGCTTTATAACTGTTATCATTTTTTATAAATTTTGTATTTACCTACTTAAAATTTTCGTATTTAATAATAATAATTAATCATAATAATAATAATTAATAATTCGTATTTATTTAAAATTTAAGTATTTACCTACTTAAAATTTTCTTAGATTAAGGACCTGCCCGAAACACCGCGCGTACTAGTGGCTTTACAAGAATGTAATTACTATACTATGTATCCTCACAATCCAAATGTACTTTCTTGTATATATGTAAATAAATAAATAAATAAATAATAAACCGATGGAACCGTCTACCCGCTGAAGCTGTAAAAAACAAAACTCTGTTAATTTTTTAAGTACAACGGGAAAAGGTCATCAAGGTATATGGAGGGATCTGCGACAAGCCGCCGGCTTGCTGTGGTGGAGGAGGCCACTACAGTATTCAGTAGTAGAGGTGGTGAAGGGTGTACCAACATGGCCGGCCGGCGGCTTCACTCACCCCTTAAGCTACACATTCCTGTTGTATATGATAATCATTTTCATGTTTCTTCTCCACTAGTTTCCTTTAAAAATTTACTATCGTAATTATATATTATTATACCAAATATTTTGGTATTAATTTGTATTATAAATGCGTCAATTGGTATAAGTGTTGGGAGTATATTGGGGGTTGAAGTTTAGTGAAGGGTTGCGGGTATTGTTGGGGGTGAGTGAGGTAGTTAGTGCCTGGTTGTTAGGCTCCCTGGCCCTCTACCTCACTAATGGCCTCTCATAAACCCAGTAAGTTACACAACCTCCTTGTCACTGCCTTAATACACTCCAGCTGCAAGTGTTCAACTACCACACTCACTGACACAGACGCCTTCCACTATGTATATCATGTATATTTGGCACTAATATACATAATATAGATTATAATTAAAACATTGGTGGACCCCCCGTGCCGCCGGGGGAGTGTAGGCCCCTCGGGGGACGGTGGTGTGGGCCCCAGGTGTGGTCACCCGCTGGCGGGACAACTCGCACCTCTCCTGTCCCGTCCTCTGGTCCCTGGGGGGGGGGGGACGGTGGTGTGGGCCCCAGGTGTGGTCACCCGCCGCCGGGACAACTCGCACCACTCCTGTCCCGTCCTATGGTCCCTGGGGGGGGAGGACGGTGGTGTGGGCCCCAGGTGTGGTCACCCGCCGGCGGGACAACTCGCACCTCTCCTGTCCCGTCCTATGGTCCCTGGGGGGGGGACGGTGGTGTGGGCCCCAGGTGTGGTCATCCGCCGGCGGGACAACTCGCACCACTCCTGTCCCGTCCTCTGGTCCCTGGGGGGGGGGACGGTGGTGTGGGCCCCAGGTGTGGTCACCCGCCGCCGGGACAACTCCCACCACTCCTGTCCCGTCCTCTGGTCCCTGGGGGGGGGGCGGTGATGTGAGCCCCAGGTGTGGTCACCCACCGCCGGGACAACTCGTACCACTCCTGTCCCGTCCTCTGGTCCCTGGGGGGGGGGGACGGTGGTGTGGGCCCCAGGTGTGGTCACCCGCCACCGGGACAACTCGCACCACTCCTGTCCCGTCCTCTGGTCCCTGGGGGGGGGGGACGGTGGTGTGGGGCCCAGGTGTGGTCACCCGCTGCCGGGACAACTCGCACCACTCCTGTCCCGTCCTCCAGGTGACAGTTTTCTATCTAGAACCACCCCTAGATCTTTGTCAGAATTTTTTAAACATTTCTCACATAATTTATAGGTTGTGTGGGTTCTATGTTCTCCAATTCCACATTCCATAACATGGCATTTATTCACATTAAATTCCATTTGCCAAGCATTGCTCTATACAGTATACTTATTTTGTCCAGGTTTTCTTGAAGGGCATGACAATCATCTAGGTTTCTTATCTTCCCTATTATCTTAGCAGCATCATCAGCAAACATGTTCATGAAATTCTGTAATCCCACTGGTAGATCGTTTATATAGACAATGAACATTACCGATGCAAGAACTGAACCCTTTGATACTCCACTCGTGACATTCCTCCAATCCGATACCTTGCCTCTGATTACGGCCCTCATTTTTCTGTCGGTTAGGAAATTTTTTATCCATGTTAGTAGCTTACCTGTCACCCCTCCAATATGTTCCAGTTTCCAAAACAACCTCTTATGGGGAACTCTGTCGAAAGCCTTTTTTAGGTCCAGATAGATGCAGTCAACCCAACCATCTCTTTCCTGTAAAATCTCTGTTGCTCGATCATAGAAACTAAGTAAGTTCATTGCACAGGATCTTCCAGATCGAAAACCATACTGAATGTCTGATTTTGTCGTTTTCCTCCAGGTGTTCTCCCCATTTAGTTTTAATTATTTTTTCCAATATTTTGACTATTACACTTGTCAATGATACAGGTCTATAATTAAGGGGGTCTTCCCTGCTTCCACTTTTGTAGATTGGAACTATGTTAGCCTTTTTCCACACTTAGCCTTTTTTCACACATCAGCTACAACTCCTGTAAACAGGGATGCCAGAAAAATCAGTTGAAGTGGAATGCTGAGCTCAGGTGCACATTCTCTCAGAACCCTTGGTGAAACTCCATCTGGACCAACTGCCTTGTTCTTACTTAGCTCCTTGAGCATTTTTTCCACCTCGTCTCTAGTCACCTCTATGTGCTCTATGTTGTTCTCTGGAATTCTTATTGTATCTGGTTCCCTGAAGATTTCATTTTGTACAAACACACTTTGGAACTTTTCGTTTAATGTTTCACACATTTCCTTTTCATTTTCCGTGAATCTATTTCCCATTTTCAACCTCTGAATATTATCCTTTACCTGCAATTTGTTGTTTATGAATTTATAGAATAGACCTGGTTCTGTTTTACATTTGTCTGCAATCCCTTTTTCAAAATTTCTTTCTGCCTCTCTCCTCACTGCCGTGTAGTTGTTTCTCGCATCTTTGTATCGTTGGTATGTTTGGGTGTTTGGCCTCTTCCTGTATTGCTTCCATTTTTGTCTTTTGGTCTCTGGCCCTCTCGCAATTTCTATTGAACCAATCCTGTTTCCTAGTTCTGCATCTCTGTTTTGGTATAAATTTTGTTGTGCCTTTATTTATTTATTTATTTATATATACTGTATATATATACAAGAAGGTACATTGGGATTGTGAGGATACATAGTATAGTAATTACAATCTTGTAAAGCCACTAGTATGCGCAGCGTTTTGGGCAGGTCCTTAATCTAAGAAAATTTTAAGTAGGTAAATACTTGCAAAATTTAAAAAAATGATAACAGTTACAAAGCAAGAAAGAAAAAAAAAATAAAAGATGTGAGAAAATTGTAGGTATATTAAAGCACATAAGTAGCTCAGATTGATTGCAATAAATAAATAAATAAAATATAAATATGTTTATTCAGGTAAGGTATATACATACAAGTGATGTTACATTAATGGATTGATATATAGATAGAGCTAGTACATACAATGCCTAAAGCCACTATTACGCAATGCGTTTCGGGCAAGAAAAACATTAATATCTAGAACTTAATACTAATTGAGCATAAAGAATAAAAAGTGTTGAGAACAAATACAAATAAAGATATAAAAAAAGGGGGAACATGACTGAAAAAGCAGCACAAATACAATAGGTTGACAAACAGTGTTGATTAAAAAAAAAGAAAATAACAGACATGGGTTGACAATAGAGGAGTGAGGTAGGTTACAGGGAATTTATTAGGTAGTGTTTAGTTTTTATCTTAAACTGGTTGAGAGAGGTACAGTCTTTAACATGGTTGGGAAGGTCATTCCACATTCTGGGCCCCTTGATTTGTAGAGCATTTCTAGTTTGATTAAGTCATACTCTAGGAATATCAAAACTGTATTTATTTCTGGTGTGGTGCTCATGGGTTCTGTTACAACCTTCTATGAAGCTTTTGAGATCAGGATTGGCATTATAGTTTAGCGTTTTATATATGTATAATACACATGAGAGAATGTGCAGTGACTTAATGTCTAACATATTCAGAGATTTGAGTAGGGGTACTGAGTGATGTCTGGGGCCAGAGTTGGATATTGTTCTAATAGCAGCTTTGTGTTGGGTAATTAGAGGACGTAAATGATTTTGAGTAGTAGAACCCCAAGCACAAATACCATAGTTGAGATATGGATAGATAAGGGAGTAATAGAGAGTCACCAGGGCAGGGCGTGGTACATAATATCTGATCTTAGAAAGAATGCCCACAGTTTTTGAAACTTTTTTTGATATATTTAGAATGTGTCCCTGGAAATTCAGCTTGTGGTCAATGAGAATGCCAAGGAATTTGCCATCTAATTTGTTACAAATTTGGGTATTGTTTATTTTGAGATTTATTTGACTAGAGGATTTATTGCCAAACAGAATATAGAAAGTTTTGTCAATGTTAAGGGTGAGTTTGTTGGCAGTTAGCCAAAGATGGACTTTATTTAGCTCAGTATTTACTGTGGCATTTAGAGCAAGAGGGTCAGGACTGGAGTAAATGAAGGTTGTGTCGTCAGCAAATAGAATTGGTTTGAGGTGTTGGGAGGCATTTGGAAGGTCATTAATGTAGATGAGAAAGAGGAGAGGGCCAAGTATGCTGCCCTGAGGAACACCAATGTTGATGGGTAGGGTGGGAGAAATTGTATTATTCACAGAAACATATTGGAGCCTGTCAGTAAGGTAGGATTCGAGGTATTGTAGGGAGTGTCCTCTGACTCCATAATGATGTAATTTAAGAAGAAGGTTTTGGTGGTTGACAGTATCAAAAGCTTTACGCAGGTCCACAAATAACCCAACAGGGAACTCCTTTTTATCAAGAGCTGTATGAATCGAGTTAAGCATACTAATAAGTGCATCATTAGTGCTTTTTTTGGGTCTGAAGCCATATTGGCAATGACAGCTTGAATGGTAGTTGACAAAAATTAGTAGGCACAATACAGCATATGGCTAGTACATAAAAGAAGACAGCAATGAACATAATGATAAAGTTGTTTGGGTTAAGTACATAAAGGTTGGGAGATTGGGTAACACTAGATACAGAGCAAATTTAAACCTCGGTGTAGGAAACTACGAAGATGAAATTAGGTACTTTTTGGTTTTGTTTTTAAATGAGGCAAAAGTTTGACAGCTTTTCAATTCACTAGGTAGTGAGTTCCATAGACTAGGTCCCTTAATTTGCATAGTGTTTACACAGATTAAGTTTGACCCTGGGGATATCAAAGAGATATTTATTTCTGGTGTGGTGATAATGGGTCCTATTACATCTGTCCAGGGAGAGTTTCAGAGCACAGTTTGCATTTAAGAACAGGGTTTTGTAAATGTAGTTGACACAAGAGAATGTGTGGAAGGAGTTAATATTTAGCAAGTTTAGGGATTTAAACAAGGGAGCTGAGTGTTGTCTGAAAGCAGAGTTAGTTATTATTCTGATAGTAGATTTTCGCTGGGTGATGATGGGCTTAAGGTGGTTTGCAGCGGTAGATCCCCATGCACAGATACCATAATTAAGATAGGGGTAGATTAGTGCATAATATAGTGAGAGGAGAGCAGAGTTAGGAACATAATATATACCATCATTTATCATATATTTCACAAAACTTGACATACATCTCATTCACTTCCTTGCCTCGCAACAAGTCTGTCCAATTATACTCACTAAAAAAATTTCTAAGGTCGCCATAATGTCCTCTCCTGAAGTCAGGTTTTTCAACTGCTTCAACCTGCTTATTTTCTTCCAGATTATAGGCATTGCATACTTTATTCCCAAAAAGACATAGTCACTTTTACCCAAGGAAGGAAGGTACTGAATGTCAAATATCTCTTCCTCCTTCCTGGTAAATATCAAATCTAGCATGGAGGGAACGTCCCCTTCCCTCATCCTCGTAGCTCATTTAACATGTTGATACAAGAATGTTTCCAGGATGAGGTCTACAAATCTACAGGTCCAAAAATCTTCTGTTTTAGCTTCATATGCTTCCCAGTCTATGGATTTCAAGTTGAAGTCACCGACAATCAACAGTCGTGACCTATCGTTATCCGCTCTCGCTAATCTGGTTTGGGGCCCCAGGTGTGGTCACCCGCCGCCAGGACAACTCGCACCACTCCTCACCCGTCCTCTGGTCCTGGGGGGGGGGGGAAGTGGTGTGGGGCCCCAGGTGTGGTCACCCGCCGCCGGGACAACTCGCACCACTCCTCACCCGTCTTCTGGTCTCGGAGGGGGGGGGGGGGGCGGTGGTGCGGGGCCCCAGTTGTGGTCACCCGCTGCAGGGACAACTTGCACCACTCCTCACCCATCCTCTGGTCCCGGGGGGGGGCGGTGGTGTGGGGCCCCAGCTGTGGTCACCCGCTGGGACAACTCGCACCACTCCTTTCCCATCAACACCGGGAAGTTGATGGGAAAAGAGATGGTTGGGTTGACTGCATCTATCTGGACCTAAAAAAGGCTTTCGACAGAGTTCCACATAAGAGGTTGTTCTGGAAACTGGAAAATATTGGAGGGGTGACAGGTAAGCTTTTAACATGGATGAAAAATTTTCTGACTGATAGAAAAATGAGGGCAGTCATCAGAGGCAATGTATCGGACTGGAGAAATGTCACAAGTGGAGTACCACAGGGTTCAGTTCCTGCACCAGTGATGTTTATTGTCTACATAAATGATCTACCAGTTGGTATACAGAATTATATGAACATGTTTGCTGATGATGCTGAGATAATAGGAAGGATAAGAAACTTAGATGATTGTCATGCCTTTCAAGATGACCTGGACAAAATAAGTATATGGAGCACCACTTGGCAAATGGAATTTAATGTTAATAAATGCCATGTTATGGAATGTGGAATAGGAGAACATAGATCTCACACAAGCTATATATTATGTGAGAAATCTTTAATGAATTCTGATAAAGAAAGAGGTCTAGGGGTGGTTCTAGATAGAAAACTATCATCTGAGGACCACATAAAGAATATTGTGCAAGGAGCCTATGCCACTCTTTCTAACTTCAGAATTGCTTTTAAATACATGGATGGCGATATACTAAAGAAATTGTTCACGACTTTTGTTAGGCCAAAGCTAGAATATGCAGCGGTGGTGTGGTGCCCATATCTTCAGAAGCACATCAACAAACTGGAAAAGGTGCAAAGACATGCTACTGAGTGGCTCCCAAAACTGAAGGGCAAGAGCTACGAGGAGAGGTTAGAGGCATTAAATATGCCATAACTATAAGACAGAAGAAAAAGAGGTGATATGACCACTATATACAAAATGGTAACAGGAATTGATAAAATCGATAGGGAAGATTTCCTGAGACCTGGAACTTTAAGAACAAGAGGTCATAGATATAAACTAGCTAAACACAGATGCCGAAGAAATATAAGAAAATTCACTTTCGCAAACAGAGTGGTAGACAGTTGGAACATGTTTGGCGAGAAGGTGGTGGAGGCCAAGACCATCAGTAGTTTCAAAGCGTTATATGACAAAGAGTGCTGGGAAGACGGGACACCACGAGTGTAGCTCTCATCCTGTAACTACACTTAGGTAATTACACTTAGGTAATTACACCCCCCCCCCCAACAACAACTAAGGGGAACCACGAAGGGAGACCTCCCCACCAGGCAGAAAAACAAAAACAAAAGAAAAACCTCTCAAAAGGACAACGTACCCAGGTGGAACAGAGCCAGCCGCTATAATGGGTGAAAACTAGCTGTGAAGTACCCTGTGTCCCTACCAGTGACAAAAACTACCCCTAACCCAGAGACAAACAAGGCCAAGAAAACCCCAGCTGACCCCAAGGGCGCCGAAGTACCGAGCAGTAAAGGCACAGCGGAGGCAGATCCCAAGGTGACTTGTGGAAGGAGGCCCCAAGCCCCAAGGGTAGTACTTACCGGGCGCCTAGGAAAGGGAACCCTAGGCACATGCAGCCCGAGTACCTTGGAATATTACTCCTGGCTCATACACCACCTGTAGAGACAGCCCACGTCACAAGACAGAACTGAGACAAAATGTTTGGAGCCAGAGGCACAAGACTTTCCCAGAATCGCATCAGCCAAGAACTGGTGTTTGGGTCGCTGGCGCGAGGGTCTGGGACTCCCCCTTTACACTCCCAAGGAGGGGGGGGGCTATTGCGCAGACAGCAACGCGGCAATATGACGACTTCATGCTCATTTGCTAATTTTCATTTGGGGAATTTTGTCAACTCGTTCGGCTTTCAGTAGCAATAGTTTCGCCAGAATAGGGGTTTGTTTTGGAGGCGCCTACTTTACTGGGTGCCTGTCCTTGGTTGATGGCAGACATAGAATGCTCCCAACCACATAGGGGTTTCTATAGGCCATTGCTCCTCATGCCTCTCTGAGGGGGCCAGGTTCTGCCTCATGGTTCCTGGTAGACAAGAACTCCAAACACATTGACTAATACCAGAAAGTTATACATATCCATTCAGCCTGGATAGCTCTGAGGAGCCGATGGGGCTCCCCCCCAGAAAAGCTACTATAGTATATAGCATTGATTTGTAAACTTATTATTTCACTTGTGTTGCTACTAATTGCCTTTTCTTCAGGTCTGAGAGGCAGCTTCCAGAGGATCTGTCCCGAGTGTCACAACAGTATTAATGTTGGTCGGCACATCTGCAATTGTGGTTATAGTTTCATTGAAGCAAAACTTAAAGTTGAACGGCAAAAGGAAGCCCGTCAGCTGGAGATTGGAAAGAGGGCTGCTGACAGCAGAACGCTTGCCAGGGCATTTAGTGCTATTAAGAGGAATGTAAGTATTTCCAGGAGTATATACAGGTATGTGTGCTTCATGTATAATTTACTGGAAATCCAATCCTATGCATTTATTCAACCCCTCCCATACTCTTGCAGTATTTCTCTCTGTTTCCTTCTCTTATCTCTTCTACTCCATTTATGTCTGCCTCTTAAAACATTCAGACAGTTCAGATTGGGTTTCTTGCCTGTAATGCTCTGTTCCTCTCGCATAAAAATTTATCATCAGTTGAGAGCTCATATAGTTTAAGGTGGTTGACTGCAATTTGCTCCAAAAAAGGGGCATGCTTCCCCCTTGTAATTAGCTGCATTTTCTGTAGAGATCCCCTTCGGCTTTCCGGAGCTATACCGGGCTGATGTATAAGCATGGCAGAGCCCATCATATATGCCACCACTGAGGAAGGTACCAAGAAGGTGTCAAAACAAACCACAGCTGGCTGCCTCTGAGATTTGCAGACTCGATAATGCCAATAGAACTTCCCAAGCAATGTAAAGAAATGATCAACAATGTTATAAAACTAGTTCGCCCTCTCCCTTCCCCTCATTTAGGAGGAGGAAGGAGGCAGACCACAACTCACAGGCCACTCCATCGTCAATCCTCCTCTGATGTATACTGGGTCTGCCACTGTTGCTCTGTCTCCAATATTTTTCTTGGGCGTTCTTTTGCCTTTGTGGCTGTTCCTTACATGTTTGTGTACATGCCAGGAGTTTAGTACACTAGGAGCTGCATGTATTCAGCATTCCCTTTCCTGGGTGCTCCCTTTTGCTTTCCTTGTGGGTTGATCCTGTTTCCTTGGTTCCAGGATTATACCTGGATGATGTTCTGGGAGTATGGTATTTCCACTTCCCAAGACTGGCCCGGAGCCAGGCTAGACTTGCAGAGTTTGGTCCAACAGGCTGTTGCTTGGATCTGCCCATAGGCCCACATGTCCACTACAACCTGGTTGGTCTAGAGCTGCTTGCAGAAAACTGTCCAGTTTTTTCTTGAAGACTTCCATTTTTGTTCTGGCAATATTTCATACACTTGCTGGGAGGATATTGAACAACAGTGGACCTCTCTTCCCTGTTCCAAGTTCCCTGGTCTACCCTCATGACCATGACGTCCAAAATTATGTTGCGCTTTCAACTGTTTTTCTAATATAGTATGTCCTGGGCTGATCTTCAGGTGTGGGGATTCAGAAGGCTGAACAGAGTTTTGGCAGCCTGGTATTTGGTCAGTGTTCCCGGGCCTCAGCGCCCCTGTGTGACCTTCAGTCGACTTTCTCGGCTGTCTCTTCTTTATTATGATACCTGCGAAAGTCCCTCCTTCCTGGTAAATGCCCATTTCCTCCTTCTATCTGGGTAGTTAGCTTCAGGGAGCCACAAGTGGCTTCCCCCAGAAAACAAGCTTTGAATGTAATGTAACACCCTCCCTCTCCCAGAAAGTTGGGTTCTTGTCATTTGTCGAACTAATGGTGGAACGGCCTGTGAGCCGTGGCCTGCTCCCTCCTTCCCCCAAACGAGGGTAGGGTAAGGCAAATGAGCAGGCACTAGTTTTATAACATTTTCAATAGTTTATATAGTTTGGGGAGTTCTATGGCTGTTTTCGAGTCCGCAGGTCTCAGAGGCAGCCAGCTGTGGCTGCTTTCTCTGAGCAGCTGTGGTTGTTTGGATTTGCTGACTTTCTATATACCTTCCTCAATGGTGGCATGAATGAATAACTCAAAATATAAATGCGATGGCTCCGTGCACCTCTGTGATGGGACCAGGTTCTAGTTCTGGGTCCCTGGTAGGTCGGAGAACTCCGCAACTCGTGGCACCTACATCAGAGATGGTAGCTTCAGAGAGCCAATGGGGTTCACCCAGAAATTGGCATTTCATTACATTCAGTGTTTGTTCTTTTCCAGAGTACCAAATTGAGAGGAGGTGGTTACAATGTTGCAACCTTCTATTATAAAGTATGCAATCAGAGGACGATAAGTGGAGTTCTACCAGGAAGTGGCCTCGCCGATAATGATGAGAAAAATTTGACTAGATTGTTTATTCTTGGTAAATATTAACATCACTGCAAATTTTGGTACAGTTACAAAAAATAAGACCGATATTGAAGGCCAAGCCTTATTTATACCTTATAAATCTAGATACTGTACTTGTTATCCCTCATGTTGTGCCACATATTAATCTGACATGTGGTACAACATTGCAATGTTGGGCTGATATGAATGTATTAGACCCTGGCATCAGTCAAAGCCAATGGAGTTCTAGGCCTACCAGGGACCGTGAGCCAGAACCTGGTCCCCTCAGAGAGGCATGAGGAGCAATGGCCTATAGAAACCCGTTTGATTGGAAGTATTCTATGTCTGCCGTTGACCGGGTCAGGCACCCAGAAAGGTAGGTGTCCCAAAACAAACCCTATCTGGTTAACAAATTGATACAGAAAGCCGAACTATCGAACAGAACTCCCCAAACGTTAACAAGCAAATGAGCATGACGTCACAACTGTCACCACGCCGCTGTCTGCGCAGCTCCTCTCTCCCCTAGGCCTGAGAGGAGCTGCGCGCCCTAGGCGGTCGTGCGACTCTGGCTCCAGCTTCTATTCAGTGCTGTGCCTTGTGTGTGGTCCTGTCCTGTAGTGGTATGCAAGCCAGGAGTAATTTCTACAATACTCGGGCTGCATGTGCCTAGGGTTACCTTCCTTAGATGCCCTGTAAATACTACCCTTGTGGCTTGGGGTTATCTTCCACAAGTCGCTTGGGGGCTGCCTCCGCCTAAGTCTTTTGCTGCTCGGTGATTGCCCGCCCTTGGAGTTAGCTGGAGTGTTTCATACACCTTTATTTGCTTCTAGGTAAGAGGTAGCTTCGTCACTGGTAGGGATGCAAGTACAGTACTGCGAAGCTGTTCTTCACCTGATAGCGGCTGGCTCTGTTCCGCCTGGGTATGTTGTCCTCATACAGGGTTTTTTGTTTTTGTTTTCTGCCTGGTGGAGGGTCTACCCTTGGTTGTTCCCACTCATATTTCTTGTTTTTTTGGTGGTCCTCCACTAAGTCCCCCCCTGTATGTGTACACGTCCTGGGGGTTTAGCCTTAGTTGTTTGTTTGATAGTTTGGGGTGCCGGTTTGCAGTACCTTGCCTGGGCTTCCCTTCGCAACACATCTCAGGGCCCTGGGATGGGCTGATATGAATGTGGAGAACCCCACTGGGGCTCAGTGGTCCAATGGATGCGTTCCCCTGGGTCCCATCTTGCCTTGTGCGAGTTTGAAGGTTCTCAGAGTCTCAGGGTTCTCAGATTATCTCAGGGTGACAATCACCTGTTCTACCTCTGTCATGCTGCCTGTTGGGTCAGTGACACCTTCGACCTGGAGTCCTGCGAGTGGTGTTGCTTGCTTGTTCTCCAGATCACCCAGTCCACTGATATTGATCTTTGGGTGCAGGCAGCTTTGGCGTTGCATGCTCGTTACAGGTTGCTGCAGCGCGTAAGGACAATTGCTCACCCGGATGCCCCGCAACTGCCCCGTTTTGTTAGTCACTTCGACTTTGGTTTCGTCCACACCCCTGGGTCCTTCCCCTGGTGGTGTTTGTCCTGTTTCTCCTCCCCCCCTCCCCCCATGCTTCAGGCTCCAAAGTGTCTGAGGGTTTCAGAGTCGGGGTAGGGTTTAGTTGGTGGTGAGATTCGGGCAGTTTCGGGGTGATGCCCCATCTGGTGTGACGATGGAGGCATTCGAGCCCATTCCTCCAGCCAGTGCTTCTGGGTCTGACAAGTGAGCCCCCTTCGGTTCTGCTTCTCTGGCTTCATCTGCCTTTTCTTTTGAGGCAGGGGGTTAGGTGGTCAACCTGGCCCCGGGGTCCTGATGAGGAGGTTCCCGGGACAGGGGAGGGGTTGACTTGGTGGGGGAGGGGGGGGGGCTTGGGCCCCGTTTAACCCTGCCTGGGTTTTGGTACCCTCTGAATGGGACTTGTTGTTGCAAGGGGTGGGGTTTTCTTATCCTCCCTCCTTGTATGAGTTTGATATGGCCTCAACCCCTCCCCGGATTTGGTTCCGGGTTCCCTTAGGTACAGTACTTCGGTTCTTTCTTTCCGGAGGTTTTGGCCTCCCTCATCCCGCCGCATGAGATGTGGGAGGCCCTTGCGCCTTACTTCCTTCACGACGCAGATTACGCCTCAATAATGGATCTCATCTCTTTCGAGTTCATTTCTTCTTTTCCTTTCTGGGTTTCGTTACAAGGTTCCGGAGTCATCCTGGTTAGCAGACTGTCCTCTCTTTTCGTTGGGGGGCATGGCATACGTTCTGTTGGTCCTGTACACTTGAGTGCCGAGAGGCGCTTACGGTTGTACTGGTTTACCTGGGAGGCGAGTTTGAGCACCTCATTGCGTGTTTGTTTGCCCCTGCCCTTCCTCTGGATGTCAGCCTTGTACAGCTTCACGTACAGGTCCCCCTCCCTTTCGGCTTCCCTGGTTGCTGATGACGTGTGCGCCCGTGGCCATTTGGCTTCGGTCTTGCTTTGCTTTTCCCTTCTCGAGCTGTCTTTGGACTGACTTGAAGAGGACATCATTTTTGTAGCCTCCTTCCCTGTACGAATTTGATTTTTTGGCGATCCTTCCCCCCAGGTTCTTGTGGGTTTTTCAGCTTCATCTTTCTGTAGGTTTTCTACCTCTCAGATTTCCTCTGCGGAGGTTCGAGAGGCCCTTGTTGATTACCTCCTGCGAGACCTGGCATTCTCCTCTATACTGGACTCGGCCTCTTTTGAGTTGGGATCCTCTTCCCCATACTGGGTGCATTATGAAGTTCCTGGGTCTTCCTTACCTGTAGACTGCCCTTTCTTTGCTCTTGGGGCTTGACATGGTTTTTGTCGTACCCGCAAACTTGAGTGGCGTGAGGTTTCTTCGGTGTTACAAGTATTCTTGAGGGGCTCTCTTGAGATCCTCAGTGAGTGCCTTAATGCCCCTGTGCTTTCTTGTGAGGTTGGATTGCTGCAGTTGCATGCTCAGGAACCAGTGCTTTCAACTGCCTTGGTTGGTGAGGATCGTCTCGCTGGTGGTCATTTGACTTCGGTCTTGCGCTTCTTTAGTCTTCTGGAGTTGTCTTTAGACTGGCTTTCGGAGGATGTGGAGGCGTTGAGTGCTGGGCCTTCAATTTCAGTGTTGATCTCGATGGCTCAGACCAACCAATTTTTGGCCCAGAGCCTGGGCCGCATGACCCCAGCCTCCTGAAGCAGAGCCTGGGCCGCATGACCCCCGGGAGGTGGACGTACCGGTCCCGCACCTACGGGTTCCAGACAGAGATTGTCACAGCCCTCTTTGACCCGAGGCCGGCTTCCTTCAAGACCAAGTAGAAGGAAGAGTGATAATTATTAAATACAGCAATTATTATTATAATAATTATTATAATAATAATATAACTAATTAAAAACTATCACTCTTCCTTCTGCTTGATATTGAGAGTATAGCTCCACTATACTCTCAATAAGTGGAGTGTTCATAGGCCATTGCTCCCTGCGCCTCTCTGAGGGAACCAGATTCTGTCTCGTGTTTACCGGTAGGCAAGAACTCCAAGTAACTAATGCTCTAGACTAATATAGCAGATATCAGTCCGTTAGCTTCAGGGAGCCTCCAGGGCTCAACCCACAAAATGGCATTTCATTACATTCAATACTGTTTTTTGTGAGCATTTAAGGATGATCAGTATGCAACGGTAGAGTGACCCTGTATTGGCCATCTTTATAGACCACTGAGTCTAGATATTTTTGATAAGTGATTTTGTCATCTGGAATGATTTGTTCTGGAAGGCCCAGCACCGGTAAACATCAGAGAAGAACCGACGGTGGAACCACCTGTGTGCCGTGGCCTGTCCCCTGCTCCCCCCCAATGAGGGGGAGGGTGGGGTGAACCTGCAGGTGCTAGTTCTTAAAATAAAGTTAAAGCTTAAAATAAAGCTAGTTCTTAAAAATTATCCTTTGTTTACATATATATGTAGTTTGGGGAATTCTATGGCCATTTTCAAGTCTGCAGGTCTTAGAGGCAGCCAATTGTGTTTTGTTTTGTCTTGTTGACTTTCTGGGTGCCTTTCTAGATGGTGGCATAAATGGATAACTTGGTATATAAATGTCATGGAACCCTGTGCCTCTTTGAGGGGGACCAGGTTCTGGGTCCCCAGTAGGCTAGAGAGCTCCATAACTGAAGGTACCTATTAGATGACATCTCCATCAGAGATTGTAGTTTCATTTAGCCGGATGCTTTCCCGGGAAAATGTATTGTGTACAAAAAACTAGGAAGTGGAGCATAAAGAGCTAGGTCTCCTTTCACGTAGTCACTGATAGGTAAACATGTAAAAAATAGGTTTCTCTATGTTATATGTGGAAAATTTGAACAATACACTTACATGAATAGTTGACAGTGTTTTGCTGTCTGTCTATAGTAGAACATTATTCACACCACCTCTGTTGACTTATCACACAGCTGAATCTTGCAAAGAAGATATGCTACTCTTTTTTTTTATGTTAATAATTATGTCACTTAACAGAGCACAATTGGTTCTCTAAGCCTACTTAACTTCTTATGACTACAGTGTTATATTTCATATTGAACCCTTATATTAGATTACTATTATAAAAAATGCTAGCAATTGTTTTAAGTAAAAAATTAATTATGAACACTTCGTATTTTTCAGCACATGGTGCCCAACAGCACGATCAGCCTGAAGAGACACAGTCATCAAAAGTGCTAAAGGCGGCAGGGAAACGTCAAGGAAAAAAAATTAAAGATCATGAGAAGGAAAAGTCGGAGAATTGTAGTTTCTCTGAAGGTACTGAAATTGTAATTTGCAACATAATCCAGGAAGTCAAAATGTATGTAGTTTAAAAAAAAAGAGTGGCTTGTATTACATGCTAGTAATTTCTTTATTTAACCAAGAATATTTTTTCAAGCTTCTTGTCTTCCTGAGACATATTTATCATATTAAGTTAGGAGATTAATGTTAAAAATAATGCCAACAGTTAACTTTTAATATATTATACCTGCATTTAATTTTTTTAGAACAAATTAGTGAAAGAAAGGAAGATGCACTGCAAGATATGCCACCGCTAAAAATTCAACCACTGAAGAGAAAACGGCAAGGAAAAAAGAACCAAGACTGTGAAAAGGAGAAGAAGAATTTTAAATTCGCTAATGGTAATTATGAAAGTGTACAGTACTAGTATATTATTTTGAAGGTGAAATTAAATACAATACCTTACCTAGGGAGATAAATTATGACCAGAATCCTCCTAGCTCTCAAAGAATTTGTTCTCTGAGCCTTTTGATATTTTGTTTATTGTCAGTTTTTACCTTCTTTGCAGCAAATGACAGCACATCTTTGTACATATATACAGTACACAATCAAATAATATATCAATGTTCCATTGTAAATGTGGGCGAAGGTAACACAGGAAAACGGTAAACACATCCAGAAACTATGACAGAAATTTAACATCAAATCATTGAAAGCACAAACTTCAAATAGCTATAAAGCAGTTAAAAAGCTTGCATGCATGCACACAGGGAGACACTGGGACACAGACACTGGGACACAGACACTGGGACACAGACGCTGGGACACAGACGCTGGGACACAGACGCTGGGACACAGACGCTGGGACACAGACCCAGCCGTGTGGGGCCTGACAGCTGAGTGGACAGCGCTCGGGATTTTGTAGTCCTGAGGTTTCGGGTTCAATCCCCGGTGGAGGCGGAGACAAATGGGCAGAGTTTTTTATAACTACACGGCAGTGAGGAGAGAGGCAGAAAGAAATTTTGAAAAAGGGATTGCAGACAAATGTAAAACAGAACCAGGTCTATTCTATAAATTCATAAACAACAAATTGCAGGTAAAGGATAATATTCAGAGGTTGAAAATGGGAAATAGATTCACGGAAAATGAAAAGGAAATGTGTGAAACATTAAACGAAAAGTTCCAAAGTGTGTTTGAAAAAAATGAAATCTTCAGGAAACCAGACACAATAAGAATTCCAGAGAACAACATGGAGCACATGGAGGTATCTAGAGACGAAGTGGAAAAAATGCTCAAGGAGCTAAGTAAGAACAAAGCAGTTGGTCCAGATGGAGTTTCACCATGGGTTCTGAGAGAATGTGCACCTGAGCTCAGCATTCCACTTCACCGGATTTTTCTGGCATCCCTATGTAAAGGAGTTGTAACTGATGTGTGGAAAAAGGCTAACATCGTTCCAATCTACAAAAGTGGCAGCAGGGAAGACCCCCTCAATTATAGACCTGTATCATTGACAAGTGTAAGTCAAAATATTGGAAAATATAATTAAAACTAAATGGGTAGAACACCTGGAGAAAAAGATATAATATCAGACAGACAGTATAGTTTTCGATCTAGAAGATCCTGTGTAATGAATTTACTCAGTTTCTATGACTGAGCCACAGAAATTTTACAGGAAAGAGATGGTTGGGTTGACTGCATCTATCTGGACCTAAAAAGGGCTTTCGACAGAGTTCCACATAAGAGGTTGTTTTGGAAACTGGAACATATTGGAGGGGTGACAGGTAAGCTTCTAACATGGATGAAAAATTTCCTAATCAATAGAAAAATGAGGGCCGTAATTAGAGGCAATGTATCGGACTGTAGAAATGTCACAAGTGGAGTACCACAGGGTTCAGTTTTTGCACCATAATGTTCATTGTCTACATAAACGATCTACCAAATGGAATACAAAATTATATGAACATGTTTGCTGAAGATGCTAAGATAATAGGGAAGATAAGAAACCTAGATGATTGTCATGCCCTTCAAGAAGACCTGGACAAAATAAGTATATGGAGCACCACATGTCAAATGGAATTTAATGTGCATAAATGCCATGTGATGGAATGTGGAATAGGAGAACATAGACCCCACACAACCTATAAATTACGTGGAAAATATTTTAAGACTTCTGATAAAGAAAGAGATCTAGAGGTGGTTCTAGATAGAAAACTATCACCTGAGGACCACATCAAGAATATTGTGCGAGGAGCCTATGCTACGCTTTCTAACTTCAGAAATGCTTTTAAATACATGGATGGCAATATACTAAAGAAATTGTTCATGACTTTAGTTAGGCCAAAGCTAGAATATGCAGCGGTTGTGTGGTGCCCATATCTTAAGAAGCACATCAGCAAACTGGAAAAGGTGCAATGACATGCTACTAAATGGCTCCCAGAACAGAAGGGCAAGAGCTACGAGGAGAGGTTAGAGCCATTAAATGTGTCAAAACTACAAGATACTGTAGGAGAAAAAGAGGCGATATGATCACTATGTACAAAATAGTAACAGGAATCGGTAAAATTGATAAAGAATTCCTGAGACGTGGAACTTCAAGAACAAGAGGTCATAGATTTAAACTAGCTAAACAAAGGGGCCGAAGAAATGACACAATTTACGAGGAATTGTTGAACCTATTGTTGAATTGTTGATTTTCAGTCATCTCTGTGTACAGGAGTCTTAGTAGATATATGGAAAAAAGGCTAGCATAGTTCCATCTACAAAAGCAGCAGCAGGGAATACCCTCTTAATTATAGTAGTCAGAGTATTGGAAAAATTATTAAAACCAAATAGAACACTTGGAGAGAAATTATATAATAACAGACAGTATGTTTTCGATCAGGAAGATACTGTGTAACAAATCTACTTACTTTCTCTAATAGAGCCACAGGGATTTTACAGGAAAGAGACAGCTGGGTTGACTGCATTTATCTGCACCTTAAAAAAGGTTTTCGATTGAGTCCCACATAAGAAGTTGATATATTGAAAGCTGAAACGTACGCGAGGAGTGACTGCGAAGCTTCTGACATAAATGAACAATTTTCTGATGGAAAAAGGAGGGCAGTAATCAGAGGCAATGTATCAGACTGGAGAAATGTCACAAGTGAAGTATCACAGAGTTCACTTCTTGTACCAATAATGTTCATTGTCTATATAAACAATCTACCAGAAGGAATACAGAATTATATGAATATGTTTGCTGATGAAGCTAAGATACTTGGTAAGATAAGAAACATGTATGATTGTCATGTCCTTCAAGAATGCCTGAACAGAATAAGTGTATTGAGTAGCACTTTGCAAATGGAATTTAATTTGGATATATGCCAAGGAATAAATAAAGCAGGGAAAGAGGATCCACAAGGTATCCAGAAATGCAGGTTGGCCAGGGGTGATGGGGTCCATCCTTCCGTCAGGCTCACAGCACTGTGCGGGAGTTCGCGGCGGTTTGGCTGTCACATCGGAGAGTTCAGGTCGCTCGGGATTTGACCATCCAGCTCCATTCGGAATGTTATCTGGTGGTTCATTGCCTGAACCATGGGGGTTATCTTTGGTCCTTGCCTCTTTGGGGCTGGTCACTTCTAGTGGCTCATCTGCTGGCATCTCGGTGTTTAGCTTTCCATGCAGTTCATATCCGGGGAGTGACCAACGTCCAGGCAGATGGTCTGTCTCGGTTCATTCCCCTTTTCCACGGAATGGACGGTCGACACCAACTCCTTCCGTTGGTTGTGCTGGATGTGAGGACTCCTGGACGTGGACCTCTTCACGTTGGCATGGTTTTGGCATCTCCCGATATATGTGGCACCCCACAGCGCCAAATATAACGGGAGTACGAGGATATGTGTACGTCTTCTTCCCGGTCCAGCTGGGGGGAAGTTGTACCAGAACCCCCGGGTTCGGGCTCGGTTGGAGTCCTACCAAGGGAGAGTAAGCCTCATAGCCCATTGGTGGCCAGCCCAGCCTTGGTTCCAGGCATTGCTTGCTCAGTGTGCGAACCCGGTATGTTTTCCGCGGCTCCACCTCTTCCACCAGGTCTGACCAGTCTGGTACATGGCTGGTTCGGTCTTCTCCGCTCTTCGCATCTGGACTTTTTGACGCGGGTTTATCACCAATTGTATGGTGATCAGGTGGCTTTGTTGATGGTGTCCCACCTGAGAGCTTCGTTTTGGCGACAGTATGAAGCTTCCTGGCGTTCTTTCAACCATTTTCTCTCTCTTCGTAGGTTATCTTCTATTTCTGAGTGGATTGTCTTGTCCTTTCTGTCTTGGCATTTTCAGGACCGTCATGTGATGCCTAATACTGTCACCTCGTATTGTGCGTCTCTGGCGGAGTTGTTTCAGCTTATGTTCGGGGTAGATGTCACTTCTGCCCCATTCTGTAAGCTTTCTCGTGCTTTGTTTTACCTCCGTCCTGCTCATGCCCGCCTGAGCCATCCTGGTCCTTGGACAGGGTGCTCTCCTATCTTTCCTCTTCATGGTTTGTGGTGGCTCCTTCAGTTCAAGATTGTTTTTCCAAGGCTCTGTTTCTGTTGGCTTTGGCCTCTGGGGGGGTCGGGTCGATGAGTTTCATGCTCTCCTCAGGCGCAAGGGTTTCTGCTTTTTCAGTCCTGGTGGTTGGTTTGCTCAGTTCCAGCCTTCTTCTTCTTTTCTAGCGAGGTACATGACAGCTGCTTTTCGGGGGGGTCCTTGGGTCATTAATGCTTGGTTGGTCAGGCCGGGGGTACATCATGTGTTGTGTCCGGTTGTGGCTCTTCGGCCTTATCTGTGTGCTTTGGCTTCGGTGGCTGGAGATGTGCTTTTGGGTTGATCCGGTTTCCCCTCGTTCCCTGTTCCAGGTCTTGGGTCTCCCAGGTTGTCCGCAGGGTTATTAAGTCTAGCCAGCCTGCAGTCTATCCTCGTGCCCATGATGTTAGGAAGTTTGCTGCATTGGCTGCCATGTTTGGCAACATGTCTTGGGCTGATATTTGGACGCAAGGTTTTTTGAGGTCAAACAGGATCCTGGCCGCCCGTTACTTGGTTAACGTTCCTGCTCCTTGGTGTTTCTGTATTGCTTTTGGTTGCAGCCAGTAGTCTCAACTTCGCTTTGAAGAGTATGTGGCGGCCACCTCCCGGGTAAGTCCCTTTTTTCCTTCCCTTTGGGTGTGTAGTCCCAGGGAGCCGGAGGGGCTTCCCATTGAAAACCAGCATTGATTGTAATGAAGCGCCATTTTTCTGAGTGAGCCCCAGAGGCTCCCTGGCAACCCTCCCTCCTCCCTCCCTCCGGTCGGCAGTTTTTCACGTTTGATGCTTAGCTTCGAAACTGGAGTGCTAGGTAGCTGGCACGGGGCTCCCCCACTCCTCCTCTCGGGGAGAGGAGGGCTGTGTGG